CTGGAAAATTTAAGGAGTTATTATTATGTACGTTTAGATGATACAACCGGTAGGATACTTTTGCACGTTACTGTAAATTCCAAGGACAACTTACTTGTCAATTACTTAATATTATGCTGACCGTATGTTAATGTTTTATTATATACAAACTAAACATGTACTAGAGTGGTAGTGTTTTAGCTTTTTTCAGTATAAACAAATCGCTTTGTCATATGATATATTGAGTTTTTGTCTCACATTAAACTACCCTATATTTTTATCATACCGATTCGAAAGTCACGGGACTGCCAAATTTTGTGGCATAACTAGTATATTATTTGATAGTAATAACAAAGTTATTATTACAGTCATTTTATATTACATGACTCACAGCAATGATGGCCGTTTATCGAAAATTTGTTGATTGAGTGAGATAATAATAAGCAAATTGGAGTACTGGATGGATTTAAACAAGTCATGGTACTACTATTCATACGTATATACAGTGACCGAATTATATATTAATATATACAACATTAATATACAAAGTTACAACATTGATGATTAATCGATGGTGTTTATAGTTAGTCTAAAAGCAAATTTTGCCAATGTTCACAGGGTATTCTTATCGATGTTGGTTTTACCCTTATCTGTTTATATGGAAAATATACGTGCAGTCCATTAAACAATATTGTAATCTTTGTATGGCTGTTTTGTTACAGTAACAGTTCTATAGATTAAAATATCTGTCAGAATGGACGTATCGTGATGACTCATAAAGTTTCGTAGTGTCTATTAACCATTTAAGTACGAACTGTTAGCATTATAATCTATATATACAAGAACCCATGTTAATTTGTGACCATTGCAAGATTAATTTGCTGATCATATGAAGAATTATTCCGAAACACAGCCACATCCAAGCCACCATGTGAACGTAAACAATTGGCATCCATCAAACGTGACATCTTTGTGTCCCAAATATAGAATTTGTACTTCAAACCGAGAGCTGCTGCCGTATTACATTTAAGTTTTGTAATATTCCTAGCGGGTAACCGTAGTTAGACAATAAAGTTCTATATTATAAGTTTTGTAATATTTAACGACTGATATGCAGTCCAATAAACCCAGTCATCATATTATGCAAAACACAGCTCACCAGAACAAAAGGCTTTGCATTTCCTATATACAGTAACTTACAATATATTTAATTGATTTTTCTTTTATTATTGAATTTACATATTACATATATACGAACAACAAACAGAAGTTTGTCACGTGCTTTACTAACTGATTGCAAGCAAGCGTATGCATAATAGCCACCAAAAGACAACGCATGTCTAATTCAGAGATTTCCTCGTTTAGTTAGACTGACAAATAAAGGAAGTCTTTGTTACGGTTGTAAGGTTATTTGCTAAATCGGTTATCTGATATTTGGTATTTCAGTATTTCAATTACCGAATTCATATGTCTAATCCAATCTGACAATTAAATTTAAATTGCGTTTTTGGCAATGGAGCTTGTCAACAATACACCTGCTCACTTCAAAGTTTGCGTAAGGCGTCAATTTCATCCCTTTTCACGACGAGACGCTTTATCCCTTACGCTAATAATGTTTTCGAAATAGATATATAACAGCGGGGAGGTTTGTTGAAATAGTCCTCACCTCTTTAATCATGGCCACAATTACGCTAATCACCACCGCCAACGTGAGTGCGATAAATAAAGATACACACATACACCAAATCTTTTATTAATCTTTTCTGCATCAAAAACTCATAGATTCCAGATGATCTTATCTCGGAACTGTCTGACATTGGCAAACGGCGGTTTTGTCAACAAAGATCTCGCGTTCAGGTCATCTGCACCAAATCAGATCACATGATGTTCAACGACGATTCGGCCAGACCCTCGTTCGTTCTTTACGTGAACGCTATCAACTTGGACTCCCTCATTAAGCCTGAAAAACAGGAAACTGTCCGAATGTTTACGGAATGTCTTACAAACTACCCAGGATTCGATCAAGATAGAGGTTATGTCCTGTTAGGAGACCCTGGGCAGAATAATTGGGGACTTTCGGGAGATCTGATTCCCGACGACCGAAATGTGAGACAACGAGATGTGAGACAAAATGATGATGTCGTCATTCGGTAGCTATATAATGGCTCGGTTAGAATTATTCCAATATCAATGAGTATTTGAACGAATACGTCGCTAGAACCACATACCGGCATATTTGTTAAAAGTTTGAGTTTGAAATAAATGTAGTTGGAAATATGTAAGCTCGGTGTCTATTTGCATATCTGTGAAAAATGCATGTCATACTATAAACTGCAACATATTTGCAATCGTTATCCTCTAATTATGTAATAGGCTGCGTATATAGGCTTCTGATCACCTAGCAAGATTGGCGATTCCATTTGCTTGCACACACGAATTCCAACTATTCGTTCGTTTAGTCATACGGTAGACAAGTTCCCAGCTGTCGAGAAGAATTAGATCGATAAAATTTCCGGAGAACGGTTATATAAAAGGTAAGCTACAGCTTCCGTTCAATCGCCCAGTAACATGATCACTTTATATAAAATGATGGTTTATCTCTTTAATATCTAGCACGTCACCATAGTTCATTGTACCACAATAATAAATAGTTTGATATCGATATTAAGCAATCTAGACTATATACCTTACAAGTGGGGGGAAGGGTGTTAATCTTTGGAATCAAAGAAACGGTTTCTTAATTGATAAAAATTTCACCGCAAAAGAAAAAACGCCCGCTCTTTTGTAAAACTGTTCCAGTTCTACTTCTCTTCTTGCTTTTGTTCTGAAATAAGAGGTCATCGCGAATTATGTGTTTATATAGTAACATTGCTTTTAAGATTCGTTCGGATGTATATCCCATTTTCATAGATTGCTGCGAGTTGCGATAGAGCTACAAGATTGCTACGCTCCGCTGCTTTTTCATAAAAACTTGATTGCTGACACCATGTCCTTTTCTACCACGATGCCCTCTTCGTAGATTCGCATTGCGCTACGGGATAGCCAGACTTGGCCGCCTGGATGTAATGCATTAATGCCGTTCTTGAATTCGCAGCCACTTCCCCAAATCCATTTTCGTAACAGAGCCCGAGCCAGTATGTGGCTTTGCGATTACCCTTGTTAAGTGATTCCAGAAACCGATTATATGCGCTAGCCAGTCACAATCTGTCCCTATACTTTGCGCGTAAAATAGTCCAATTAACAAAAAGCTGTCCTTGTAATTGTGATTAGAAGCAAACACATGAACGCTTCTTCCTCTTTATAATTCATTTGCTTGATCCACTTTTTAATGTTGTTGGCCGGAACAATAGCGAATGTACTTTTTTCGAGACTACTCTCAAATATCCGCAATAACTCGTCTATTAATCGATGGTCCAACATTTTAATTCGTTCCGCGGGTGGGTTTGTCGTCTCCACTTTGGCAGAGTCATATAACATGTCTGGTTGTTGTTTGCTGACTATCGTAACTTGGTCGCTCGATAAGTGTTGGTCATCGTTAACTATTGGTGGATCTAGCGCAAGCAGCTGCTTTAATCCTTCATGGACCCTTCTACAGGTAGGTCGCTTGTCGGGAGATGTACTCCAACAGTCTGAATAAGGATTGATAATGCCATCTGGTGTTCCCCGTACAGGAGAATCACGAGATTCATTAAATCTGTATATTATTATCTCCTCGGTTGTCAATAATCCGTCGCAAGGACTTTCCCACTTGAAATCTCCCAGAGTATTACACCCAAACTAAAAATATCAGACAACCCAAAGTCGGTTATCTTTGCAAGTCCATCATGAATCAGAATGTTGTTGGAGGGCTATGAAAACAGGCATAAAGGTGACATGTTTCGTAAGTATTACTAACTGTTTGATTATGCGGTCATTATACAAGTGAGAATGCGCAGTATATTCAATTGCAACATCGTTATACATACCACGTCTTTGTGAATGATGTCTCGATCATGTAAATACTTCAATCCACTGACAGTTTGTCCGCACATGTTATCCTATCGTAATGTTCTTCGCATAGTGTTCCTCCATTTGCGTATTCAAAGATCATGAGGAAATGGTCATCGGAATCTGTAAATGGAATTAGATATTGCATGATTGAGGCTGCCAAGGAACCCAAAACATTATGGGGGGTCAAGTTGTACCTTTGCCTAGTCCTAAGAATCAAGTGGGTTTGAAGCTAGACCGTCGTTAATAAAACTTAGCATTGAGACTACGAGAGCATACCACCCGCATGCCACTTTAAGCTTCAGGCATACACGTCTGGGTTGTACATGGAGAGTGATTTGTATGCTTACGTTACTTGTAATGTAAGACAGTTCATAAAGTCAGACTTACAACTTACCTCTTTAACAAATTCTTTGTAATAGTCTTCATCCTCTTCTTTCTAGGCGAAACATTTAATTGCGGCTGTAATATCCAAGGTTTTATGACGCGCGCTTTATAAACTATTCCGAATCCAGCGTTACCAAGAACTTTAAGATCCTCAAGCTCTTCTCTAAGTAATATCGAATATACTTATATGCTTCTTTCTAACCAGGCTTTTGGCGCGCAGTTACCAAGACCAATTTTTGACGTTAAACTATTTTTATATTGTTATTACGACTACGCAACATAACGTATCATTGTTAATAAGCTGTGTTTTGTCTCCGACCCTGCATTATGAAAACACGTTGAGTGTTAGTACACCCAATTAACCATAAGCAAGACTTACCAACAGCTTCTCCATATCTCATGCACTGTTGCGCGATAATGCTACCATCCAGGAGTTCCATTGCTTCTCTAATTCACGAGAACCACATAACAAGTGTCGGTGAGACGAAAATCGATACAAGCGACGCAACACCTCCGATTCTTGACTGTTGGCTATCGTTTGAGCCCCAATCTAATCAATACAGACGTAATAAGGTGTGACGGTTTGATGAATTCAGAAAGGTAACGAGAGGGAGGAAGAAATTCTTGTTATAATCGAGATGACACATGATATGTCATTGTCTTGTTCTAGAAAGGAAATTCATTGTTTTACCAAATATGTACTGTACATTACAACATTTCTAGTAAGTATTCCTTTTTCGCAAATTCAGTAATGTTGGTTAGCTTAATATCTTACAAGATTCTGCCAATTTTGTTGCATGCATGTTTATGTTATAGTAACAATCGTAAGTATTCTGCCGACCGTAATTATACAAAAATCGGTTATCTGTTCTGTTATGATAGTACTATGTAAATGTATAATTACTTTTCTTATTTACTTGATATGTCAGACATAATTAAAATACCCTTGTCTTTATATTTGCATTCTAATAACTATAAACTTAACAGTCTCAAATCTACTATAAGATGTTTGCGTTTTTAGACTTGTTAATTAAAATTTAGAAGATTACAAGTCGAAAAATATAGTCTAATCTGTTAATGTAAAAAGCTTTACACTTGCTTCTTGACAACTTACTCAATATAGATCTAAAAGGAAGCCACCTTCCATCTTGAGTTTATAATAGTCTTGAACTTTGTTAAATAAAAAAAATTCAAAAATAATAAGAACAAATTGATATATTAAAAAAAATACTGCCCGCCATTATTTTTGCCGGGGATTAAATAAATATATAAACACTTTTTTATTAAAAACTAAACTATTTAATACATTTTGTAGTATCTGCGAGTGCGACATTATACTTTTTCAACTTTGCCACTAACTCGGAAGAGAATGATCCCATTCTTTTGCTACCTCTTCCTTTAGCATTTTAACTGACTTCTTTTTTCTGTATATTGATTTTCATTGAACGCATATGCTTTTGATCCGGAGACATTGACATTACGTACTATTTTCTTAAACGGTGTTTGGAATGGAATTGTTATCTTTCTATCTTACTCTCGCCAAAGAGCTTGGATGCCGAGGCCAGAGGACTCTGTCACGGACACTACACAATAAAAATTAACATCCAGCTTGCCAAATTCCAAATGGAAAACATCCCAAGCATGCCTACAAAGTCTGATCAATCGTTACTGCAATTAAAAAATGACTTTCGCATGTCAGATAGAGCGATGTTTTTGCGTGACAGATAAACAATAAAGTAATCTTTGACAAAGGAGAAATTATATTGTTAAGAAGTATAAAACAAAAGTCTATAATTTTATTAAAATAGTATTTGGAACTGTGGACAATTTGTCAATAATTCTCCCAGTGGCTTTGTCTCGATAGGAAGGCATTATCGGTGCTGTGTTTATTGAGTCAGGATTTCGTGCGCTATCAACAGATATTAATAATTTAGACTGTGGAATACCAGATTCGACCGCATTTGGAACAGATATATCAAAATATGATGTCGGTTTAACTACGCGGCAGATCGCACCCATATAGTGCCAGTTTTGGTGAAGAAGATATAAACAGTCGCAATTTTCCGCTCTAAACATCATCTTTAGCAAGTTCTATTTATTGTCCTTTAGAATAGTTCTTTATATTCTATAAACAAGTGTTATAAATATTGTTATTTACCTGGTGAGTTCTTTTATTCGATTGCTGATTAAGTGTAAAGCGCTTCTCGATCACCGTTAACAAATTCGATCTTGCCATCGAATTTGCAGGACTTAAGCATCAGAATTGGTATAAGCGCGTTTACGATTGAAAACTTAAGCTACTCCTAGTTGTGACCTCGAAAGTCTATCTATCGGGAAAAGTTCACCGGAAGATGCTAAATCTCAAGATCGTTGCACACACGCTCTTCCACGTGTATCGACCCGACATATAACAAAGATCAGATTGGACCTCAATATCTGCTGCAATCTTCTGGAGTATCTTGGCTACATTTTTCTTGAACTCAGGACTTGCTTGCCAAAGCAGTTTCTGAAGGGCTACATTCTGTTCATTATGTTACCAGGATTGTTACCTGGATTTCATGAATATGATATCAGTTTGCCTGTGTCAATCCAGTCTATATCTAATTGCTTATAGTTATAGTATGATAGGACTGACCATGGGTTATATAGTGCAACTTCAATTCCAGTAACATAACCATTTTGACTTCTGCCAATGCATCAGATGTTTAATGAGACATTCAGCTTCTTTCTCAGTGAAGCTAAATTTATCATTGTAAACATCAGTACAATGCAAAGGATATTCTTCCGAGAAAAACCAATGTCAGGTAAGCAGGTCAACAATAGTAGTGTGAGGATTCGTATAAGGAAGAAGACATAGTAGTATTTGTATCGACATGCGTTGGCCGTGAATCGTCATTCATATTAATATTGAAGATCCATTTAGTCTGCGTCTAGAGGAAAGACATCAACAACGTAAGACATCTTAACTAATTTCATTAGTTAGCAATGAAGTAGATGGTTTATTTCGAAAAAATTTATGCGTATAATTATACAGAATCCAACATATTCTCTTATAACAACGCCTCGTAAAATAGCTACTCGAAACAAAATATTATTCTCATTACCTTTTCGTGCACTGCCGAAGCAACAGAATCTCTATTTTGCTCCACTAGTTAGTGACTTTATAATTGAATGGTCACACGTTTGCCATTTTCAATCCGCATCTCATAGTTTCCGAATGAAATATATGATGCACTAGAAAGTAATATAATTTGTTTAAAATACTTGTAATCTAGCGCGTATCCGCATGACATATTAACAGTTAATAAAATTTATGGCCTACCGTTCCATCAAGACTAATCAGTCGAGAATTATTCGAATGTGTTACTTTACATTGAGCTTGTTACAACAACAACAATAACTCGTATTCATTTGTAAGATAGCAAGCCTGGTGGTGCATCATCACTCGTACTGTAGGTAATATAGAGATAAGGTCTTCTTATATTTTTATTTTCACCCCCTTATGTATAAGTCTTTAGCGCTTATTATAGATTGATTAAATGTAACACATAATAATAATTGTGCATGCATTACAATACAAATTTTTTGCTTATTATAGTCTTAACTTGCAGTGTATCCGTAGTACGTATCAAACCATAAACACAGTAAATTTTTGACCGCTAACGATTTGGCAAAGCTTCTTCATAGACTTTAGCCTAGTTTAAAAGGATCCGCTTGAAAGTTAGATAGCTTTCCCCTGTAATAAGTATTGGATATTGAGCTTGTTAAAACTTTAACAATAACGACAGTGATAGAAAAGTCCATAAGTAACATATTGGCATACTCCCCGTTATTTGCTACAGACGGAGGCGGGATAGCACCTCCAACTGGAATACTATCATTGGTGTGGTGTTTATACCATATAATATATTTTTACATATGAATATACCGCTTACTCCACAAAATTAATAAAGTTATTTAAATCTCTTACTTTATACCAAAAAGTGGTCTGCCAGGTCAAGTTTTAATATTAAGCGTTAAATGGTACACAATCATGTCCTACATTAAAGTCGTACAAATATCGACATGACTTTAATACAGTTACAGATCTCTGATAATAACGATAACAACATGTCTTTGACTGAGAGTATTTCTACGTTGCTTGAATGTTTTATACCGCCGTTTTCTTATTCAGAATTTATTAATATAAAGCAAGTTCGAGCTTTTGGCGGACCGACATTTTACTATGCTACGACAAGATCTGGAAATGAGATAGCGTTAATGTTATTAACGAATACAGGCAAATATGCAATCGAACACATACTTCCAGTACATAAGCGTAAAGAGACCCTTGACATTCATCAGTTTAGAAGATATGCAACATGGCTGTATGCTCGGAATGGTTTTCTGAAAGGATTCACCAGAAACATTGATGACTATTACCTGGTCGTCGACAGACGCTTTTATCATTTTTACGCTCGTTACGGACTTTGTTCCCAATGCGGAACACTCAGGTCTAGTCCAATATGGTGTATTTGTGGTTGTAAAGAATTGGCGAACGAATGGACGAGCAATAATAAGAAGCTTGACGATTTTATTAAAAAGTCTCAAACACAAACACGGACGGCAAACGATGCTTACTTGGAATGGGTTCCATTTGATTTTGTTGAACTCCCAGGTATTGAAAATCCTGTCACCGATACTAGGAAGCGTACATCTACCAACAAGCAGAATGCAAGTGCCTACTTATATGGTCTACCTACCAAGGAAGATGTAGAACTAATTCCATTTGAGATGCCAAGTGAATTTGATACTGGTTTCATCAAACGTCGTTTGAAAAACGTTTTACAACGTCAATCTTCAATTGATTCTGACGATTTATACGACAAGGTAAATTACTATCAGCTACTTTTACAAACTCATTACTATCAATCTAACTGTGATTGTATTAGTTACATAAGGATAATCCGCATATATTAAATACTAATGTTTGGACTACTATCGGCTTCACATATCACCCTCAATGGAAGCAATATGCTCTAATCAGAACTAAATTTCATTCTGAGCTATGTCTGTCGTGCACACAATATTTAATTAAACCTAATATGACTGCATTCTGTTATAAGTGTGAAGCACCAAGACCACCTGATTGGATCATAGGCGGCAACAAGTCCATTACAGACAGGTTTTCCTTTACATCAGACCAGAATTCATCAGGTGATAGTTTGAATAAAAGTCAGAAAGGAAGCACGTCCCAAGGAACTATTAAACAAGGTTACCCTACTATCAGTGGACCACCGTTTTGTGCAGAACCTGAAGAAATTTCAGAAAACCAAAATGAGGTGCACATTAACAATAAAGAAAAAAAAGATGGTCAATGGTTAATCAAGAATTATACCTCTGGTGCAGAACACTTATACTACAAAGATGAAGATAAAAGAATAGCCAAGAATAACCAAAAATTTAAACAATGTAGCATCCAACATGACTTTGGCCAATCCAAAGTAAAAGCATTCAGTCACAAAGTAAGGGCTGATAGTTTTCCTCCTAGGGGTGAAACTGGAGTAGAAACATTTGAATGTTACCAAAAAGCAGCTAAACAAGGGTGTCCTAGTGCACAATATAGGCTTGGAAAATGTTATGAAAATGGAACTGGCGTAGAAAAAGACAAGGATGCAGCATTTAGATGGTATCAAAAAGCAGCTAAACAGGGATATGCTGCTGCACAACTCAACCTTGGTGTTTGTTATGATAATGGAACTGGAGTTAAAAAAGATGAACAGGAGGCAGTTGAATGGTATCAAAAAGCTGCAGAACAAGGAAATGCCAAAGCACAATATAATCTTGGTTTGTGTTATGCAAATGGAACTGGAGTGGAAAAAGATGAGAAAATGGCAGTTGAATGGTATCAAAGGGCATCAAAGCAAAACCATCCTTATGCACAGTATAATCTTGGTGTATGTTATCAAGAAGGAATAGGAGTAGAACAAAATTATCAGAGTGCTGTTAGATTGTATCATAAAGCTGCAACAACAACAAAAGGTCTTGCTTTGGCACAATGTAATTTGGCTTTTTGTTATGCAAGTGGAATTGGGGTAGAAAGAGACCATGAAAAAGCATTTAAATTATATGAAAGAGCTGCAGAACAAGGAAATGCTACTGCACAATATAATCTGGGTTGGTGTTATGAAAATGGCAGTGGAATAGAAAAAGATGAGAAGATGGCAGTTAAATTGTATAAAAAGGCTGTGGAGCAATATATAAAAGCAGCTCAACAAGGACATGTTGATGCCCAGTACTTTCTTGGTAAGTCTTATTGGAATGGAAATGGTATAGAAAAAGATGAACAAAAGGCAGTTGAATGGTACCAAAAAGCTGCTGAACAGGGATATCCTCAAGCACAATATAATCTTGGTGTATGTTATCAGTATGGGAGTGGAATAGAAAAGGATGAGTGGAAGGCAGCTGAATGGTATCAAAAAGCAGCTGAACAAGGAAATGCTCAAGCACAATATAATCTTGGTTGGTGCTATGAAAATGGTAGTGGAGTAGAAAAAAATGAGCAGAAGGCAGTTGAATGGTATCAAAAAGCTGCAAAACAAGGATATCCTCAAGCACAATGTAATCTTGGTGTATGTTATAAAAATGGGATTGGAGTAGAAAAGGATGAGCAGAAGGCAGTTGAGTGGTATCAAAAAGCTGCCAAACAAGGATATCCTCAAGCACAATATAGTCTTGGTTGGTGTTATCAGTATGGGAGTGGAGTAGAAAAAGATGAACAAAAAGCAGTTGAATGGTATCAAAAAGCTGCTGAACAAGGTGATGCTGATGCACAAAATAATCTTGGGTGGTGTTATGAAAAAGGTAGTGGAGTAGAAAAAAATGAGCAGGAGGCAGTCGAATTGTATAAAAAGGCAGCTGAACAAGAACATGCCAGGGCACAATGTAATCTTGGTGTATGTTATAAAAATGGGATTGGAGTAGAAAAGAATGAGTGGAAGGCAGTTGAATTGTATGAAAAGGCTGCTGAGCAAGAACATGCTAGGGCACAATGTCATCTTGGTGTATGTTATCAATATGGAACTGGGGTAGAAAAAGATGAACAAAAGGCAGTTGAATGGTATCAAAAAGCAGCTATGCAAGGACATGCTGAGGCACAGAATAATCTGGGTTGGTGTTATTGGAATGGAATTGGGGAAGAAAAAGATGAACAAAAAGCAGTTGAATGGTATCAAAAAGCAGCTGAACAGGGATATGCTCAAGCACAGTATAATCTTGGTGTATGTTATCAGTATGGGAGTGGAGTAGAAAAGGATAAGTGGAAGGCAGTTGAATGGTATCAAAAAGCTGCTGAACAAGGAAATGCTGGAGCACAAAATAATCTTGGTCGTTATTATACAAGTAGTCTTAGTCCAGAAATAAGTTATCAAAAAGCTGTTGAATTATTTCAGAAATCTGCTGAGGATGGGAATTCTTATGGACAATATAATCTTGGTCAGCATTTTGAAAAGGGGTATGGAGTGAACAAAAATCTTAAGAAAGCAATTGAGTTGTATCAAAAAGCAGCCAACCAAGAAAATGCCTTTGCACAAACTCATCTTGGTATATGTTACAAAAATGGAATTGGAGTAGAAAAAAATATTCAAAAAGCTGTTGAATTGTTCCAAAAAGCAGCTGAACAAGGGCATGCATATGGACAATATAATCTTGGTTATTGTTATGAAAATGGAGTTGGAGTAGAAAAAGATGAACACAAAGCAATTGAGTTATATCAAAAGGCAGCTGAACAAGGATACATTAAGGCACAAAATAAGATTTATGTTTTACTATATGATGACAAATCTAAATTAAAACGTAAGGTCCAAGAATTAAATAAACTGTATCAAACAAAACAAAATTTTAAGTAAAGGTAATAGTAAATTAATTATTAGGTGTGTGTTAAAGTGAAGTAGTTGAGAATTTCAAACTTTCTAATTATTGTAAATATCAAAAGATTAAAATTCAGTAATTATACCATACCAATGTAAAGCTATAACAGCATTCATTGAGTTTTGATTTTTTCAAGATTCTGCAATGATTAAATTTTATTCTACAAAATTAGAGTAATGAAAATATGCAAGAACATTTGCAAACAAATGACTACTAAGCCTATCTGAAGCATAAATTAAGCTTACTTAGTACAATGTTGCCACTCTACCCTACTTGGCACTCAATAAAGGGATGATTGTGACTCATTATTATTATGACTATCAGCTATTATGAACATATAGAAGTTTAAACATTTATCTGTAAATTATAAATTATATTTTGATCAGAAGTTTGATTCTTAATTCATATAATTATTCATATCAGACTTTCCGGAAGCTGTTTCATTCATTGGAACACTTGCTTTTCCACGATAGTAGTTCAACTTTTTTGTCATACAATTTTCACATTTATGTCGCTAGATTTCAAAATTGAAAATTTTTTTTTGCTGTAACCAGTTGTCTTCGCGACAATAAATAGGAGGGCCCTGTAGTGTCGATGCTTAGTGATTTGGCCACCGACTTGGCCAACTTTATTATACGACTTAAGTATCTATTCATAATTATATCTTTAAGAACGAATTTTATTATTAATTAATAATTCTCTTTTTTGCTAGATGGATGATTTTACGTTGACTATTATCTTTGCCATTTTCTTGCTACTTTTTCCTGCTGCTTTCCTCATTTAGTTAAATTAATTAATAATTTTAGTAAAACGATTAGAAGATATATAAGCTGTCTTCAGAGAACATTAGCTTTTTGAATTGTTCTTATCCGTACTCAAAGAAATACGATTATACATAGTATATTTGTCCTTGTTCGCAGACTTACTTGGATCGTGTCTCGAATATATCAGATATATTCTTCGTCGGCCTTTCTATACAAATCCGTAATAGATAACAATTAAATAAGAATTACAACACTTCTACTACTCTTAATAGCCTATTAATTTAGTTATATATATTTAGGGAATTAGTAATATCGCCCATTTCATTATACGAGTAATATATCACACCGAAGGTCAGGTTAACAGATGTACCTGGTAAAACGTAGCGGACGAAGAAATACCACTCATTTATAAAATATCAAATACCTCGTTATCTATTATATCGTAAATATTATCTCGTTAAGAAAGGTTAGGTTCAGCCTTAACATTAATATTTCTCCTTCCACTGTAATGCTCCTATTGGAATTTTTATCGCATTTTACTTCGTGTCTTTATCACTACTGACATTTTGACCTCATTTACGAATAATATTTTAACTTAAACAAAATTCAAGATATATTGAACGAGTATATTAAACACTCGGTGTTATACACTGTACTATTACGAATGCCTTTTTTGTATTAAACATAATGTCTTATAGTCGCAATCTTTCTAAATCGAATACTTCTCACACAAAGTATCGGTAATCGAATACTGGCTACTCAGTTTGTTAATCGCACACATGCAAAGTATCAACTCAGAGCATTATATGATGACCGAATACTTCTCATGCCCGCTTGTTAATCGCCAGACGGAACATAATTAATGAGTATCCGCAGCCCGAAATAAAAGACAAAGATAATACAACAATACAACAACATCTCCAAAATAAATAACGGATAATGATATTTTATTACAAGAGATAAAGTCACCCCAGGCCAGGAAAGTAGTTCCACTTCAGTTTTATAACCAACTTGCTTTTTCCGCCTGGGGGAAAGGTCGTTTACATAATGAATTTTATATCACCATTCGAATCATTACTGTTTCCCTCCCCAGACGTCTATCCGCAAACTATCACTATTTATGATCAAGCAATCAAGTAAATAGCAAAATCGGCCATTTATACCAGATTGTTGCCTTTTTGACTCTAGATGATACTTTGTGACAACAGGTTAGTACCGTAGAGCGCTGACTAAAGGAGCCGGGGTACTTTACAAATCCTGTAATAAGGGGGGGGAGTACTTTACTCGGTGGGTACTATGGACAGAATATTATGTATCCGTGTAAAGTACCCGGGGTACAAAATTTATTTCTCAAATTTTGCTCATACTTATTGTTTGCTAACAACAGTTCCAGCTGTACAATCAATCTATAACACACTGACACTCATCTATTCTATTCTCGATTACTCTATGACACTCATCTATTGACCACTCTATGCTTGGGGGATACGTAGGAAGTGATTGTCATTGGTTATTATAAGCCACGTGATATGTAATCATCGAGTTTTTCTGTACCCGGGTCTTTTACAAATCCATTGCCTTATATGGTGGGGGGTACTTTACACGGGAGTACTTTAGTCAGCGCTCTACGGTAGCTGTTGTCTCTTTTAGTAGATAATTGTTCCACAATTTTTTCGTCTATATATATATATATAGTCTGATTTTTGTCAGGTAGCATTTGAGATATTTTTCAAATATCAGAAAGCCAATCTTAATGTTTAGAAAATTTACTAAAGACATCTGATCAGGCTGAAATTTTATGGGTAATCAAGGTTTGTGGCTATTTGCCCGTTTGGATATTTACAGTTAAAACAATACAAGCTCTTTCAAATTTGAAACTCACATAACAGTTAAACTGAGGTTATATAAACATTTGAACTCTGTATATGACAATTCAGATAGGTTAAATTCGTCAAACACTTGCTTTGCTTATTATGGTATTTCTGCTTTAATTACATCAACATAAGATTTTTCAGAATGATGTCAGAAGAAACGATTTGAAACAATCCTTGACCAAAATACAATTTTTCCAATCATACTATAAAAAATACAAACATTGAAACCAAAAGTTTGTCTTGATTTTCTTGAAATACCCTTTCCAAACAGTACAATACATTCCTAATGGAACAGAACTTGGCACGTATTTGGCTTTGGATGTTGGCGGCACTTACATATTGCGTTACCTTTTTGAGGGTAGGCTAAAGCGGACCACAAATTAGCTGAGTATCACAATTAATATTAGGGCCATATAATAATAAGAGTCTAAAAATCTTTCCAAGTTTGCAATAAAACTTCTTTATTACCATTCTTGTTATTAATAAAGGAACGCAGACCCTCTTCACTATTGCTCTCCTCAATCCTCCAATACTCTCTCCATAGTTCCTCTGCTCCACAAGTAGTGATCGTTCATAAAATTCAAATCCGCTTTCTTTGTCATAAACTGAAACGGTTTCCAAACACGAATTTGGTGGTTCCATATGTATGTTTATGGAAAAGTGTTAAACAGGCGCATACATTTTTCAGTGGGTGATATCGAAACGAAATCAAAGATGAAAACAATTTTACGATATGAAATCTGTTGACTAAAAGTTTATCTCTTATCAGCTAATAACTGTACGTGAAAGTTTCTCGTTACGAGAATTTATATCTTTTCCGAAACCGCACCTATTCTTCCTATCCCCTTCTATTATGGCATCAATAAATGCTTTGTATAGTATCCAAGTGTTTTCTGTAACAGTTCAATGTGAATTGTACCCGCTCAAATGTAAATGTAACGTAAGTCTAATTGTATGTAAGTAAAAATAAAGTTATGACGAGACAAGACATGATATTTCAACTGTGTGGTGTTGGTAATGATTGTGATACTTAGTTGATTTGTGGCATAAACTACTCCGCTGGAGCCTAAGATGAATTTGCAAACAATCTTAGCGATAAGATAACTCTTCTTATCAGCAATTGACAAAGGAATAATTGTTGTAATGGAGAAGGGATTTAAAGTCATAGCGGCGATATGTTTACAAAATGCTTTGGAAAAAAAAAAAGGTCATTGCATTAGTTAATGATATTGTAGGAACCTTGTTGGCACATGAATATAAAAACCAAGAAACGAAAATTGGAGCTGGTAGGCCAGTTGAAACGCGCGAGCATAGTTTGTAACGATTATATTAAAAATAATTCTTTGCTGCAATGGGCAATGCTTGCATCCAAGCTGAATTAAACAAAATCGTATGGCAGTCTGCGAAAAGTTATAACAAAAACTTATATAAAGTAATAGGTCTTTATATTATGCGAGCTGGTTTAAAGAAAGCGCGCGCTTTTTAGATAAAAGCTAAAAGTTTCTCTAACTCGTGTATCGTACGTCGTAATTTAGTTATGTAATGCGTACTTCCGTGAAAAATGTAATATAAACAGCATAATTCGCAGTTTTATTATTCCATGCATATACCTTTGATCAACTTGTGATATACGTCTTTTCTTAGAAACCCACTTTAGCTGTGCATAATAAAGGACACACAAATCAATTCACTAATAAACGTGCGATAGATACGTGTTATTTGATTCGATTTATCAATGCATTGTCATATTGATCAAGTATGCGATAGAGTCTCCTCTCTTACTGTACTTAACGCAAACGTGTTATCTGGTTTTAATATGATCCATTTAGATCTCTCAATAATTATCGTATCGGCCATATTCTGTCGTCTAATAGTTAATTAATATGTACGTAATAAATAATCTACGAACAATGACAAGAGTATTGAATATTGTCACTTGATGTATCCTAGACACTCAAATAGTGTTATTAATATTAATTACAGTATATCGATCCTTAATATGGTTCTAGAAGCTATTTTCGGTTCGCGATTCGGTTAAAAACCTATGGAGATAACAAAGTTCCCACGGTCGCTTATAAAATTATCTCTTACTGGTAAAAAAAAACTCATTTGCTTAAATAGATTATGTATTTATATTTAATGACCCCAACGTGATAACAACGTGTGGTGGAATCTCAACTTGCACATGTTCTTGATTCTCAAAAGCAAGCTATTTTATGTGCTTGGTTGTCTTTTCCAAAGCCCGATCAACTTCTAAACAAAGGAATAGGGTGCGAATCAGGTATTATGATTATTCTTACCATTTCCCATAATAATATATAGATCACAAATTTATTGCACACTACTAGTTTGCTTTAGCCTGCCTTTTATTGCGAAATGAAGTTGTAAAAGACAATTATGATTGTGATGATACTGCTCTTACTAAAAGTGGTAATGCATAATTATTACGGTGACCTTATGCGGATATCCGCAGACAATGAAAAGAGTCACCTTTTGTGGTATATCAGCTGTTTAGTTTATCGATAAATACAGTACCTGAAAATATAAAGTCACGATGGAAGCAATGACAATGGTGATAACGGTGACAACATCGTTTTTAGTAAAACGACATCTGTTGGTATGCAACATAAGGCGGGGCGGCCGTTGCAATCATTGCGTCACTCGGTCTCTCCCTCTCCTCCTGAGTCTCATGATTTCGGGACATCATGCAAATGAAACCAATTATTTTAATATTTGGCTTGAAGCAGATACTCCGTTTCTACTTTCATTATCTTATGACACAATAGGAGAAACATTACCTTTCGACTGGAAGACGAAAGCAGGCAATTAGACATCAAGCAATGTAGAGTATTGCGTATTGAGTATTGGCTATTGTAGAAGAACTGACTTGTCATGAGTGGCTATTTTCCCAACATCTGAGATTACGTTTCAACTTGATCCAAGCAGAGACTTGATACTTGGCCCTGTTTATTTATATTAGCAAATTGACATCTATGTAACCCGGCCAAAAATTATATTTATTTAATTATCGTCAAATAACAAAGAAAAGGTCTTTCAGAAAGGACTTCCTACTTTCTTATTTTCGCGATACTCTTTTTTCAAATTAAAGAGAGATATAAAACAAAGATTACGTTTGACAAAAAACTGTTTAAAAGGATCAACAGCTTCTTTTAGTGGTTTACCATCCTTTGTTGGTTGCTCAGCCTTACTTCCATTTATTCGATTGAATTCGGCCAAAATACTCGATTCGATTTCTCTTAAAGTGACATACTCTTCCTTTGCAATGGCGGGAGAGACTGACAATTTCCCCTTATTAGTTACGTTGATGATTGTAAAATCGTATGAAAGTACTTTGCCCGCATCAAGACGTTTCATATAACGTAATGTGTCATCTTGTTTGATATATTGCTCACTGTAGAGATGATGTAGAGATACTCTCGCTGACGTGGTGACGTCCCGAGAAGTGTCCGATTCCAAATCTAAATGGTTTTACCGTAATCGTTTGTCAAGAGAGCATTTCCCATAACGATTTCATCAGGAATACAATACCTAAAGACTTCTTGTCATCATCAAATGCCGAATCTTCGATTATCTCAGCTGCTTCTGTTAATTTAACCAGTCTATTAATGTACGGGCTTGTTCCCGAAATCAAGTATTATGACAAAATAGTTTACCAATATTCTCCTTAAACTCTTCGACCAATTTTACAACACTCGTCACAAATGAATCAATATCGGGTTCAGACTTCCGGGTTGCAAGAAACTTTGCAATACTCTCTGAAGACCATTGAGTGAAGTCGATAGGGAGTTTGTTATCCATCGTCCATCACCATAGATCTTATTTGATCGTATTTATAATTCCATTCTGTCCTTACCATAAAAAGATATATGTAACTTATGAAAATCATGGGTTCCAGATGACGAAATTAATTGGATTTCATGATGCCATGTGGCGTCAATGTTGATCGCTTATCATAATCCGCCACATTGCACAATAAATGCCAACAAAAGGCAACCTCGTTCTATTCCCATTGTTGTATTTGTCGGGGTGGAGGACTTTTTTGTATAGTACAGTCAAACCTCGATATAGTGAAGTCAGCGGGACGGGCATTTTTCTTCACTGTACCGAAATCTTTCAATATAAAAGTTTATACTAATACTGTTTTTGGATCAGAGGAATTCTTTACTATTAGCACTAAAGGCTGTAATAATATGATGAAGACGGTTAGCAGATTTGATTACATAAATGAGTACGGGTTGATGTTTCTATTCTACTAGACTGGACTGACGTAATGTTGGTGTTGAGATTCATCGGTATAGTGAATATTCGTTATACAGTCAAACCTCGATATAGTGAAGCCTCGATATATAGTCCAAATTTGATTGGTTGTTTACATAAAGCTAAGCTGATTATTTCAACTTTACAAGTTACAATATGTTATAATTCCACCTCATACCACGTTGCCTTCTCTACCTTCTATCAGACGAAAGCGACTTGTAGATTCAATTTTTGTTTTTGCATATAACTTGCATAGTATTTTGCCAATGGTACGCGAAAAATTATGACCAAGAAGCAACAATAACAACACTTATTGGGAATACGCATAAATCTTACGATTTTTTGATATTCATTTGCATATGCCGATACGTTGTTACTTAGTCCACATCACATGGGCCGATGATGTACGACCACGGAAACAACTATTGACTATATGGACATTCCGATAATGAAATGTATAAATAACATATGATATGCTGCGAAAAGTTTTCTTCACAACAACAACATGTCTGATTCTCTCTTCTTCGAACAGCCGGATGGTTCGCGAATTGCGTACAAGATTTATGAGCCGTGCAAGTCAGATGTCACAAAAGATGAGATTCCTCTTGTGATGATTAATGGATTGTAATACTTTCTTCAATATATCAATAATCCCAATCTACAGTCAATCACCGTTATCATTGTAACAACCCATTTTCTTTTTCTCTCAATTTGATTACACTTTTAATCGGCACATTTGAATAGATGGCTTCCTAAAGAACTGCTATTGGGTTTGGAAAAAGGTAAATTATTTATTGATCCCCTCCCTCCCTACACAACCTATAAGTTATATTCCAATGTATAACCGACTTAATGCAACATTAGAATTAGCAAAACATCGAAAAGGTATGTGCAATTTCCTTCACCGATCTTATTCGTATTTTAAACAATTTACGATACTTATGATATTTATTCAATAGTTATTGTATTTGATAATCGTGGAATCGGAGAATCAACTGTTGCTTCTGGAAATGATCCGTGTTCAATTGATTTGATGGCACAAGATACAATTGCATTAATCAAGCATCTTGCAATTAAGAAATTTAATCTGTTAGGATGGTCTATGGGAGGTAATTCTCAAAACTCAATATAATTTCTATTCATATTCAGGAGCTCTAAACTTTTGTGATGTCCAATAGGTCAAATAGCACTTTGCGTTGCGTTAAATATACCATCAGATCTTACATTAGAAAAACTAATTCTTTGTGCAAGGTAAAATGCAACGTTTATGCAATGCATATATACTGTAGAAATTTTACTTATCTAATAATTGACTGTCAATATAGCTGGCTTGAGGTTCCTCAAGCTATAATGTTCGATCATGTGTATAACTTACCAAAGTGGTATTATCCGGAAAGCTTACAAGAGCAACGGAAGGAAATTATGCTTTTGTTCGAAAAAAATTTTACTGATTACCTCATTACACATTCAGAAATATTTGATAAAGTGACCGAGGTTATGTTTAATTCTTGCAGGCCATTTGAAATTTTCAGTTTGTATTTTTTCTTGCATCATATTTTTGTGCTGTGCTTAAAGTTTATAAAATTGAAAATAATAGACAAATTTATTTATAGAACGGCAATGGGAGGCTGTAAGGCAACCGTCAAACATTGACTCAAAATTACACACGATCAAAGTGCCGACTTTGATAATTCATGGTGAAGATGACAAATTAGTCTGTATACGACAAGGTGAATTGCTTGCACATGGAATCCCTAACACCGAATTTGTCAGAATACCTAAAGTTGGACAAATGTAAGTGTAATTCACCGAATTGTATTTATAGTTTAACATTACTTTTACTTACATTTGGTTTATCAATTCAAAGGTTTTGGCCAATGGAACCCAAATCTGCTATCACTATTGATGACTTTTTACTTGGAAAAAATAATAATATCAAGAATAAACCAAGGTCTTTATTATAATTAAAATCTACTACCAAGTATAACTTTTCAGCGGTTTCAAAATTATTTACAATATTAGCTTGAAAATAGTACAATTTTTGCCAACATACTCTTTTATAGTCACAACCTCCTTATAGTCACATCTTTGTTGGAACCAACAATTTATAGTAAATTTACCCCTGTATAAACTTATTCAGCTTATAGTCTCTGTCGCCTGAACACATATCGACAGTTATAGTGAATTTCCTCTTTAAGTCACATCACGTGAGAGAAATATTTACCAAATACGAGCTTTGCTATCTATTATTTGTAGTAAAAAAAAAAGTCTAAAAAACCAGGAAAACGAACAGCTAGCGACTCACTTAAACGTGAAATTTGTATAAGTAATTATCTAAACTAACTCCAATATCAATACAGTCAACCCTTCATCTTTACCATATTCCCAAGCTCAGAAATTAGAGGCAAATGCACACCCTCTATATCTGCATCGCACGCACAGTTTTGTCCATTTCCCATCATAATGCACGCCCGTGATTTTACGCAATTTGCATTGCACGATATCTCGATATTCTGCGAGACGATTGGACAAATGAGACGACTGGCAATGATCAGTAAATTCATTATTTGTCTGTTACTGAAATCAAGACAAAGATTCAGGATAAAGTTGCTTAACGATGGCCTGATAGAAATTGGGTTTATTTCAGCCATACGAACAACGTTTATAAAATCACATTGTGAAAGCGAAAGTATTATGCTACTTAGCATTTTGTTGCTAAAATCACCTTCGTCCGTCGCTAGTAATAGATACTTAATGAAACTATCATCAAATACTGTAAAAGCCTATCAGAATTTATCGTGTCTTTATTCGAATCGTTACGATAATGCAGATTAAACAGTTCGTTTATTTCTGCAGCAACAAAACTCTAAAAAGTTGCTAAAGTTCTTTGAACGTTACATTAATAATACTTTTATCGAGTCACGTGGTTTAATAGACAGTATATGGCGATTGACTACAGATTACTATAAAAGAGATTCAAAAATATACAGTATTTTATAGTATATGGTAATGTTATTAATTAAATAGTCAACCCGATTCTTATGATCGCTATAACCTTAACCAACTGATTTTAACAGCGGGTCATTATACGGCACCAGTCTGCACAAAGAGGGTCCTTATAAACAGAGTTGACTTGACGACGCACAAAAATTAAACTACTATTAGAAAAATGTCTTTAGTCGACGAGTGTAGTATATAAGATGTTGAATTCAATGGCTTTAATAATACATTTATTCATGCTAATCATTTCACAATATTATTGTATCGAATAAAAGGGTCCGGTTCATTTCATCGACAACAGTACACTTCACGACATAAATCTCATCGAAAACCAATGATAAGTGCGATAAACAATGTGTCACGTGAAATGACTGTCGGTGAAGTGTACTGACGGTGAAATGATTGTCGATGAAACAAATGCCTCCCGAATAAAATAGACTCAAATTTACTGAGAACGACGCGTCGAATTTATTATATCAATACACCGAAACACACTCTTGTATTTATAATACTTGTTCTATGTTTATTCATTATAATTCACATGTTTACTTTACAAAGCAGTGTGCGCAAAAGTTTTTTGACTTCTGTTGCATAACAGACTAACGTTTACTGGAATAAAAGTATCATCTAATATTTGTAAACATGGTTGTTCTTTTTATGTAAGCTATGTAGCTAGTTACAACCAAATTATAAACACTTTATTAAACTTGTTTCAACTTTCTAAGTGTATATTAATCTACTATATCCTATGTTAATTAAATGTGTAATAAATGCTTGCATGCATGTATTTTAACTTGCTTCGCCAGGACCATAATCAATATAATTAAAACATGCCATCAGCTCTTCAACATGAACTCAGAAAAAAGAGAATAAAAATGTTAAACTAAATGATTTGTATAGTGTCGAGTTAACGGTCACTGACTATTAACCTTGGGATTTAGTTTCTTTCAATCGGAGCTGTAGCTTTCCTACTTAGCTAAATACAATTCAACAGCTAGTGACCATCCAATCAGGCGTACACTCACGGTCTAAACCAAAATTTTTGGTAATTCAGGAAGTATGCTTAGTGTTACAGTCTTTATTTCTTGTAAACTGCATATTCTAGGTTGCAGGTAAAAGCTGCTTTGTAAATATTAGCATAAAATTGACTATCCATCGTGTTTGTAAAACAAAAAAGAGGCGTTTTCTTTGTAGAGAGAATGTCATCCCCCATGTACATGCCATAATTATGTTTGAGACACATATCTAATCGAGCTAATTTTTTTCAACATGCACAACTGCCAAGCGACTCTGGTGTACAGCTGCAGATGCCATGGCAGCTTGTGCAGCTGATATATCTCAATGGATATTGATATAGGTGAGATTGACAGCACTAATCCTAAAGGCCTCTTGTCATTATCAGAGTTGTGCAGAAAAAGTGATGGCCTCATATAAAGGTCATAATTAGCTGTAATGTGAGCAAGAGATTGTTTGAAACTAGATTTACAATCTTATAGAATATTATTAGGGAAGTAAAAGTGAAGTAATACTAAAACTAATAATATGATATGAGAAAGTAAAAAGAATTAATGTGAAAAAGATAAGAGAGTCAGCAATAAAGTTGTACTTATTGAAAAAGATAAGAGAGTAGAGAAAAGCTGGGACATAGAATGTATATGTTTCAATTAGGACATCCATACTAATACCTTGTGCTTTCTCAATTACAGTGAACTTGAATTTTAAATCAGTCAGCATCCATTGCATGTAAGGTAATTCTTGACTTTACAACATAAATATAGGAAATTCCTTTAAATTACTAAAGTCATGTTAGTTGGAAAAAAATTGACAAAAATGGTTATTTAATTTTCACAGGGACCAATTAGAACACTTCATGAAAAACTTTGTAGACCTACCAATGAATCCAAACAAAACTTTGCCAAAAAAATTACCTCTTATTTTTATAGTGAAGCCAAAACCCAAACAAGTTGTGTTGATGGACTTCATAAACTATGATTTTGTTAATAGTCTGACTTTGATTTGAGTTTTACAATTGACGTGGCAAATTAATAAAGGGACCTTGAATGAATGAGTTGTTCAAACTTAGGAGGTAATGGTAGTCTGTATCTAGTCTTATTAATACTCTCAGCATCGTTTTCTCTTCTTCTTCTTCTTCTTCTTCTTCTTCTTCTTCTCAGATAATCTACAAAATATTGGCAAGATGCCATATGGTATACTCATTTGTTTTCAAAAGGAGACAATATACTAATACTCTTCAACTAGAAATTGAGATTACTATTTAATCATGGAATGCTCCACATGATAGTACACTTTCATTGCTTAGTAATTAGAAAGGGGTATGGGTTGGGTAGGCAAATCTGCCTGCTTTACAGTTTAAGAGATAATCACACTGTTTAGCAAGATTGACTATATATAGACAGATTGTAACTATTACTATAGCCAGGGTAAATTTCTTATGTCCACTAAGAAACTGGCATAGTAATAGGGGTGCAACTGTGACTATTGACAAAGGGACTATATAGACAGGGCTTGACTGCACAGGATTTGAACTGAGATTGAATTTAGATATGAGTTGAAGACAATTTCTGAGAAAAGATTATTTGTACCATCAGAAAATGATGTAATTCCAGGAGAATAAGAAGAAATCAAAGATAATGGGAAATGATGCATGAACACGTGAGGTCTAACACACATGACTAAAGTATGCATGTGTTGGCTGGATATGGTTTAATTAATTGATAGCTCATTCTTATTATTACGTGGATCCTAATGTGTTTGTTGACTATGTGCAGCGTATACACATATATTGTTTCTGTAAAAAAAAAAACAAACCAAATTGAGGGAGTGCGATGAGGAATACAAAAGAAGCGGACTTTCTGGTGATTATTGTTTACAATCATTACTATGTGTATAATGTATCGGTATTGACAGTTAGACGATTTGCGGGCAGGCTGTATGTTCTGCTTAATGTAATACTCAACTCTGCATAGACCCATGGCGCTAGCATACGGGGAGAATACGCCATTCCAGAAGGCATACGTAAGGCATGCATGCTGTTATTTGTTATAAAGAAGCACATGAATATCTAACATAATTTTCTTATTTTATTCATGCCATTGGTTATCTTTTTATAGATAAGCCTGTACAATTCTCATTGTCAATGAAAGATGCATACCATCATAACAGATGCTGCAAAGAGTTGCCTATATTAATTGGAACGATTGGGGGATCAACTTATCTGAATCGTCACCTCTGTGAGAGTCAAGATGTATTTTGACTGACGAGTTTGTACCTTTAATTGAATGATACATTCCCATAGAAAATACGCATAACTTTATTATCCACATAACTGACATTAAACTTGCTGTGAGAAAAGAAGAATGGTTCCGTTAAACGATGTTGATTGAAATATAATAGAACGAGTGAGGCTTTTGTTATTCTTTTCTAGAGTCGGCCAGCAGTGAAATGAGAACAGTTTGTAAGCGCAGTGGAGCCGCTATTGTATTAATTATATTACTTAGTTTTGGGCCCACCCCAATTCTCCAAGTACCTTCCTTCCACATCGAGATTAATATCAAGCTCTATCCCTTCAACTTAGCGTTGTCAACTTGTTTATAGAAATGTGCTTCAGTCTGTTGAGGAACATAGATTGGGATGTCAAAATGATTAGTATATAATAATAGTGACGGTATCTTATGCGAAGAGATGTACGGTTCCCAGTTGGTTGTTTAGTCGTTTACGCCGCAACTTATCATTCTCTTTACTTGTATAATATAATACATCTTTGTGTAAACGTTGGTCCTTTCTTCAATAGCCATTTTGGTAGCACACAGCACAAGCCGACAATGAGAAAATAAACAAAGAATAATCTGTTTGTGCAATTAATTGTCGCATTGAATCCATATTTGAAATATATTGCTGACTCTAAGGATTGAAAATAAGTCTGTTGCATTGTGGCAGTGCGATTCGATAGATAAGTGAATGACTGAATAATGAATGGAAATAAAAGATTTTGCAGCCTTCCGTGTGCAACAAAACTAAACGAGTTTGCAAACCTGTTGAAATATTCTGTTGGGCAGTGCGTTTTGGCTAATACGGCTATAACTGATATGAAAGATAATGTCTATTTATCTAAATAGATGCTTGAATAACGCAGCAGAAAGAAGTCGGGACGTTAGGAAGAGGTTTTCGGTTTTTTGCCAGTTGGGTTATTATGTTGAAATATTAATATGTAAGGCTAAATAAAAAGCCTCAATATAATAGAAACAAAGGATTTATACCACGACGGTAAATCGTTGAAAAAGACGGGAAATGGATTGATATAGTAGTATGCATATATATGCATAATAATAATAATATAATATTCTCAAACCACTTCCATCTTTGCATTGTTTACGGACAAACAATATGATAATCGTATGATATCTCTGTTCAGCAATATGTGCGGCGTTCTTTCGCATGCGACCCTCACTATACCCTTATCGTACGCCTGCATTATATCCCCATTTCATCCATATTAGATTCCATTCATTCTTCATTATCGACCCTAACTTATTTATTTAATGTATAATAATAGCCTCCTTTCTAATAAACGTTGGGGCAAGTGATATAACCATTTTAACCTTTACCAGAATATCCCATTCTTCCCCAATCCATATAAGTATAATGTATCATTATCCATCTGATCTCGACCTATTCCACTAATCCGCAGCATCACATCAAATGTTATTGCATCGTATATATTAATTATTATTCTACTGATAATTATCAAAAAGCAACTCATTCCCTTTTCCATCAACAAGGTTTGCCAACAAGAGAAAGACAATAGAGTTTAATATACCTCCTAACAAGGTTCAGTCCAATCATGTTCCGTCCAAGTCTATTCATCTTATACCCACCTGCGAAAATATAAATGCGGATGATGAGGTGTGATTTGCAATTAAGCCACTTCAAAACTTTCATTATAAACCATAAATCATAAACGTATATCCCTACCCTTTTGACAACACAACATAGCAAAATGTCTATCATCCCGACTACGAACGCCAATGGCCAACCGCCAGTATCTGAGGCCGAACAATTTGGCCAAATGATAGAAGAAGTCATAGAAGAAGTCCGTCGAGTATATCCCAACGTCCATACTACCTTGTCTCTTAAGGAACTTCTCGATCCCGCGGAGAAAAAGCGAGCAAAGGGAGTTCCCCGACCACAAAACTGCTTTATGCTATTTCGAAAGGATATTAGGGCTAAATTTAGCCGAGAAGGACATGGGTTATCGGTAGCGGAATCCTCTCGCGTTGCAGCAGATAGCTGGCGAGATCTACCACAAGAAAAGAAAAATTTTTGGCACGCTTTGTATGAAGTCGTCAAGATGCAACACGCTGTTAAATATCCGAATTACAAATACCAGCCAATTAGAAACAAACATCCTAAAAAAGGACGTGCTGGCAAGGCGGAAAGAAGTGGTACCATAGTATTTTCGGCTAACGAGAAGAGTTTAAACGGTTATGAAAGGGAGGTGTAAATAGGTGAGTTATACGTTTATTATGCATTTTATTCGCTGTATGGCTTTCCTCGCGAAAGAATAACCAGGTGATGATAGATTTACTTGATGATAACCTTTTGTTTTGTCATTTTCCTCCCTTTAGGTCTATCTTTCGAAACTGAAATATCTTGCATGTACGAGGAACATACCTTTCTAGTTTACTCTTTAGTTTTTCTCCCTTGTCTATATTTGCTTGTGCAAAACAAGGTGTCTAGAATAATGACGGTTTGTGAGAAACCTGTCTTTATCGATTTACAAAAATAAAAGTGAATACAATTGCTTTGTAAACATCATGCATGCTTTAAAACTGCAAATCTTCATCACGGATATTAAACAGTTGTCGTTGCAATAGTCTATATAAAATAGTTACTTGTTCATTACATACGGTTATGAGACAATAGCTCCAAATATTTTGTTGGAGAGATTCAAGTGGAGACACAGTAAAGACTTTGGAATTGCTTGTATTGTAATTTGGTACCAATCTCTGCATTTATAAACAACAAAAGTACTAAGAATACCCAAATATTCTACTTGTATCCATCAGGTATATAAACTCAACAAACAACATAGAAAATATGCCTCTTTCCAACTATTTGACAAAACAATGGATTTTAAAAATATCAAGAATAGAGCTATGAAAACAACATATAATCCACATCTATTACGACTATATAATCTAGTGTATATACAGTGTGTAAAAAAAACTGGAATAAGTTTTTCATTCACTGTGTCACAATGAATGGACCAAATTACATGATTTATGGCTTATTTAAAAGCTGAAAACCAACAGTTTTTATTAACAGCAATAATAAGAGATTCTCTCTCCACCATAACTGCCCAGTTCACTGATATTTTGAGGCATTCATTTCTCTATTACCTTTCATAATGGCGCGTTTTCAAGTCAGGACTATTAGATGGCCAGTTCATGATTTCTGGAGTATTCCCACCAAGAAAGGCTTTAGCAAGACGACTACTATACTTGGGGTCATTGTCTTGCTGAAACTTGGGCAATTTCTGGGAAAAGTTGCTGTAAAATTTTGACATAAAATCTGGCATCTATGATTTGTTAAAAGCAAACCAAATTCGGTTTCCCATTTATGCAAAATCTACCCCCATGCCATGATTTTTGTTTGATCTTTCAGCACATGACGAACTGGCTGTACACCTTTATGCCAATGCTCTACAATGTTCTGAAAGAGTTGGAATGCTGTCTCATCTGAGAATACAGTCCGATGTTAAGATGCTTTTGAGCACTTTTTTGCTTGTGGCGCTAGTTAGCATAGGCATGGCTCTTGGGAGGTTTTTTTATATCCAAAGTCATTTAGATGGTTGGCAATTGTTGCATCAACAACTTTTTGCCAGTTTGTATTGACAAGGAAGTGTCTCGCTGGATGTATTGCCCGAGTGCTTTCAAGGCATTTCCAGTGATTTTTCTCGGGAGACCATTACCACCAGCATGCTTAGTTCTTGCTTATTTATATTGTCATATATTGTTGAGAGTGGTATGCTTGTGTGTGCATGTAACTTGTGAGCATTGCACACTCCCTTGTTCCACAAATATAATAAAGTTTTACATTGCAATTCTTTCTTGGTAGCAGACATCGTGTAATAATGAAAAAGTTATGTATGGATGCAATGAAAAAAAAAGAGTTTAAATTGATGCCTAAATCTTTGTGTTTATTTTGAATTAAACGTGTTGCAAATTGGTTCTAAATTGGGCATGCTAGACGCGTTTTAGTGACGTATACAATTTTTTTGACACACTGTACATTTTAGTTTAATGTTAATTATTATTAAACATTAAATTTTATTTATGCCTGGTATCAATTCCCGTTTTAATGAAGTCTAACTATGCTTCTTCTTTTTTTTTAAAAAAAAAGACTTGTATGAAATAACTTACATTTTCTACTAATAAACATTATCCTAATATTTTGTGTTATTTGCTAACTATTATATTCCAGTCATATGAAGCAAGCCATGTTTTATTATTATAGCCACGTATTTTTGAATATACTCCTATATAATTTTGCATTATTTACACTATGGTATTGAATTTTCTCAATTATTCCTCTTATGTAGTCATGTGTATTCATTTACTAATATATTTAATCTTTATCTATTACTTACACAACACAAGGCTATGCATAAAAAAAAGAATTGTCACAAATTTTGTATCTAAAATGCTGATAACTTCAAATACTTGAAAGAAATTTTCAACGGTCTGCTGGCAGGTTCCTGCTTGATGTAATTTGTGTGATTGTGATACATAATACAATATGTCTATAACATATCTCATTATTAATAATCTTTGCCTTAATCTTGCAAGAAACCTAAACAGTAATAGTAGATGTAACATTGAAATCCAAGTAAATTAATAAGCATATAATGATTTTACTGTTTTTTATATTTAGAAAAGTAAAGTGTAACTTATTACCCATAAATATAAAACTATTATAAAGGCATTTGCACACACACAATAAGCCGTTATTATATTAATTGTTAAGCTGAAGAGTTGTTCTCAAATATTGAATATGCTTTACCACCGTTGAAACAGCAACATGTTGTACCTCAGTTGGGACTTGTCTCGGTTCTGGATCGAGGCAACTGAGTTCTGGACTGAGTGACTGGGTTCTGAATTGAGACAGATTCTCAACTCAGACACAACATGGTTATCTCACACACGTTACCAACTCTGACTATGGATAACATTTATCTGGGTGATTGGGAATTTCTCTCACGAGATATTCGACCATTAACTTTGTTTACCAATTTATTGAGTGTTATATTGTTGAATAATTCACTGAACCGGAAGCTAACTCCGATATTATCCAGGGATATTGCTAGCCTAGGACAATGATTAATCTTATGATTACTTGTGATCTGTCGTAACAAGGTTATGCTCGACATCTTGTGAAGGATTAATACCTCAAGACTGAACTAAGAATAGGAATAAAAAGTTCGACGTGACACCAAGCGTAATGCTAACAGCCTTACACTCGTTGGGTTATGATTCCCTGAATCTTAGAAGGTATACGTAGAGTCGAAAAGTCGGAAATATTCGTCTGGACACGTGGTTATCGAGTTTGTCGCGGCCAATACAACTATGATTCGTAGATTCGTAAAATCGCTAATCAAATAGGCCCATAATGAAGCAACGCTCATATTTAACCCATTACGCGTACAGATTTATAGAATACCCTGTATATTTATTTCTGTCTGTTTGCAATTTCAAGATACTACTCATGTCTGCTCTAGTTAACGGTTAGCTCAAATAATTTATGCTTCTGCTGATGATGCTTTACCCACATTCTAAACACCGATAATTTGATAATATGGACATATTTCTTTTAAAACTATTACCATGTTGAATTCCAACTAAAAGCAGCTGAAGTTTATTTATACAACTTTTTTTACTTGTCTAGAATGAACAAACAAACGTTTAGCAAAACTTTTAGCAATAGCAATTCAACTATGACAGATCCTGGCTCGCACCAGCAAAAATTTAAAAGTTTAGCAAGTTTTATGGTCTAATTATTTTCAACGGGTTTACATATATGGTTGAAGTTGATGAACGTCTTTACTTAATAATAATTAAATACTGAAGTTAACCCTTTATGGATTTCCTAATTTTGATCTGTATAACAATTTTTTGCTGTGTAAAATCAATAGATACAATTTTATGTTCTGCAGCCTTCTGTGCTCTTGCCAGCCTTTGATCGCTAAAGATTACTGGCACATTACTGGGAATTCCTAAATATCACTATTTCTACAGCAGGATAAGCTGTTCTATGCGACCAATAATTAGATAGTAATCGTCTACATAACAGAGCGAATCGAAGGACATTTCATCAACTATTTGTTTGGTAAGAGCGATCGACACTTAACTTCTTCTGTCTCTACTACTAAACTACTGCTATCGATAAATGTTAGATAACAAATGTTAATTAAGTAAGAATTTTATAGAGCGCGGCAAAGTTAAGAAGATTTAAAAAAATACTCTATCTCTATTCCAATAGTTGCTTTAATGTTAGATGGCCCAAGTACCCATCAAGGTTGTTTAAACTGGAAAACTCCTCGTTGGTATAAAAGAATTATTCATCATAAACGACATAGAGGTAAGTCGAAAGAGTTCCTGTTTTGTGTTTTGTTTTCTCCAGTCATGTCTAAGTTTAACTCTAGAAAAAGCTTTAACGGAATCAATATCGGATATGAGTACGGACGGCTTAGAAGCAATCGGATGACATTTACAATCCATGTCTCATTAGTTTAACGATGTGCTTTTGCAAAGCCATGACTAAGTTCTGTGTATTTGAAACATAAAGAAGCATTATCACAAGTTGGATTTGCAACTAAAAGTCTTACTTTCTTCCTTCTGAAATTGGGCAAGACACGTTTCGATTTGGAGGATAAGATTTAATGTAATAAACAAAGTTGACGTGATGTTAGGAGGCAGCAAGCATTTTATTGAATGACAGAGCATGCATGCTTGTTGTTAATTATGATAATCTACACATTCAGTTGGTCACAAAATTGTCTTGGATTCGTTTGTATCAGTGTAAACATTCAACGAAGGCTGTGTGGCTTAAATCACAAGACTGTCGACTATTTTGCCGCCCAAACATTTGATTTTCCGCCCCTGAAAAGACTTATTTTCCCAAACACAAGCTAAATATGGATTTTCCAAAATCATATATGTGGTGTGTGGCGTCAGAAGAACAAAATTGACATCTTTGGTAACTTTTGTTAGTTGACACAACAATGCACTCTTTAGAACATTCGCACGCCATCTTTATTTCAAGCAAACCGTTATGGTAATTGTAAATAGACATGCAATGTTACATGTTCAACTGATTAGTACAAGCAGCTTAGAGGCTGTGTTTAACAAAAGACAACAGAATCAATATTTACGCTTATAGAATGGGCAGCGACAAAAGCCCTGTCTTTTAGTTTGAAGAATAGTTATGATTGTAAATTGGAGCATCACCGTATAGTGTTTCTATATGTTGCTTCGTTATTGATTATTTGCAAGTATTGTTTTGTGAACTCATATAGCGTAGTATGCGTTTCGGGGATCACCACAGAAGACAATCTGTGCATGTGTACAACAAACAACCCGCCAATCGATTACTAAAACGGAAAGCGATACTGCCACCAAACTTAACTAATTGATTAATAATTTAACATTAATACGATGCGATTAATAATGTCTGTGAGAGAACAAGCTGTTAAATAAATTTTCTATCCATTCGAATAACCCAATGCAAAAGTATTTCTCAAGCTCAACTTTGTAATTCACAATTAATGGAAGCATTATTAGCACTATCGATAATCACATAATAATTATTATTACTATCAATGTCAGCTCAGGTTAATAAAACCTATTGGTTGTAATAATTGATTGTCTGTATTACAAACATCGTTATGACAATTACAATGACTATCTTCTTGCCGATCAAAATTAAAGTTACTCTCGACTTTCTTTATGAAGAGAGGCAAAGAAAGATCCATTTTCATACCATAGACGTCAACATCACTATATTTGTGTAATACAAGCGAAGTCAACCCGCCCGCATATTCCTGTTGTTATTGTCACCTGTCCCCATGAATCCGTTCTCCGGTTAGGGTTGGTGTGTCTTTCTCATGGGCCTGGTTGGATAATATAAGCGAACTGTCTTTGAATTATTTTTCGTTCCCGTTGAAGTTTTTGGTCAGACGAATAATTAAATTGTTTGCCAAACAAGTACGTAGCTCTTCAGAAGTATACGAAATATAATAAGCTTACCAAACATGCTAAATTGAAATCAGCTAGTTGTGTTACGGATAATAAGACAAAGGCTCTTATTATGAGGCAATTCAATTATTTACCCCACTCTGATAAAAAGAAGGCTGTGCTGTTCCCCCACCTCATGAGGGCTGTGTCAGCCGTAGTACATTCTAACCGTTCGCTTTTCAATGGGTGATACTCCAACAAATCATCGCTCCACCAATTGTTGTGGCTTAACGATTATCCGGCCCAATGTTTGGTGTAGGATCATTTCGTCTATAAAAGATGGCCGTTCATCTTCCAGAATCCTCAATAACGACTCATTCATCATGGATACCGTTATCAACGAAAACTTGGAACAAGTAATCTTTGGCACTCTTCACGACAACAAACAGTCTATCGTCAGAGGTGTTAGACGATATCTCAACTCTCCAGAAACTCAAGCGTCAGTTGAACCTACTAGAGATACTGGAGATCCAATTCCGGCTATTCAAGAAACAAGGACGAATTGGGCAGAGACTATTAGCTTTACGCCAAAGTATACTTTTCGTCCAGAGAATCTCAACCAACTGATTGCCTCCATAAAAATAGCAAAAAGAGAGAACCTAAAAGTCCGATGTATTGCTGAAGGCCATAGCTGGAGCACGCTCTCGGTGACACAGAACTGTTTGTTGGTAATGGATGATATGACAGAAGTAAATGTAGAACAACAATCGAATGGAGACTGGGTGCTCCATGCGGAGGCTGGTAAGCTTTCTATTAAAATAAAAGAAATGGATGTGTTTTCGTTTATGAATGTCAGACATACTGCCGCTTTCGACTAATATAAATTATTCGGATTAGGGGCGCCGATTTCGAAAATTGACAACTATCTCAGAGAGCACAATCCACCGTTAGCAATCGATTCCATGACTGTTCTTACAAGTATCAGGATTGGCGGGGCTATCGCACCTGGATGTCATGGTGCGACAACAGAAGCAAGAACGTTTGCTGAACAGATCGTTGGCTTGGAAATAGTAACTAGTTCGGGCGAAGTACATAAGTTTGAGGATGACCCTAACAATCCAGATGAGATGAGTGCAGCGCGTGTCAATTTAGGTAAGTATTACTGCAAGCGTGAAACTTATATAGTAATGAATAGTATATAACCTTATTCACTGTTTCTACAGGGCTGTTGGGCGTTATTTACAAAGTGTCTTTCCGTGTTAAACCAATGTTCAAACTTCGAATGAAAGACACGTTCCCATTGGTGTCGGCGTTTACCAACAAAGATCTTGAAACTCTTGTAAAAAATTCCAATGGAATTGAAGTATTTTATTGGCCATTTAATTCCTCACGTATGTTCATGAAGTTATTTTTTACTCGAGCACACAATCGTATCTCTTGCTAAATTTAATTTGCTTTTATTTTTATATAGCGACAGGAAAGAGGGACCCTTCGAAAGATAAACTATGGGTAAAAGTATGGGAAACTACTAATGATGAAGTCACTTTCGACCCACTTGCGACCGCATTGTATCGCCAAGCCCAAAAAGTTTCTACGGCCATCGCCGACGCAGTTTACCAACAGCTTTTAACACATCCGGAACGTACGCCTTTGATTTCTTACACTGGCGGGAAGGTTAGGCTGGTAGAACGTAATAATGTGTGGCTAGCACCGGATGCGATTCATTACCAGGCCGGCATTGATAGCATTCCTTGCCTTGATACGGAATTTGCTATCAAAATTGACAAAGACTTTACAAATGTCATCACCGAATTACACTACATTATTAAGAGAGTACGTATGCATTATTCTAATTCCCAAGGGATAATTGATGTGAATGTTAACACGCGTTATTCTGTAAATAGATTGATGATTACCAAAAACAAGGAAAATTTCCCGTTAACATAACCGCCGAGTTCCGAATTCTTAAAAGTTCAAAGGCTCTCCTGTCAAACGCATATGATGATGATCCCGACGCCTATTATCTCTTCATTGAGGTTCTTTCTATTACGGGGACGCCAAACTATGAACAGTTTGCTAACGAGCTTGGTACACGGTGGATGAAATTATACAACGCAAGGTGACATGACCTATTCCATATACTATTGAAGTGATATGACAGTTACTATACAAATGCTTACACCAAATTTTACTTATGAATTTAGACCTCATTGGGCCAAATCCTGGGAAGATATTCCAAACATTAAAACCTACCTTAATGATAAGCTGAAAAGTAAAATCCAAAGATTCGAGGTGGTTCGCAAAAAGTACGATCCAACGGACATGTTTTTCGATAACGCTTCTCTTCATCAGGTATTTTATGGCGCCTGATCCGAACGAAACTTCACTAAACAGTTGTTGTATTTATTTAAATTAAAATAGACTACAACTTAATCGGTTTAACTTGACAATATAGAATGTTTTGTCATTGCAAATATTTTAACTATTTAACTAAATACATCGTTATTTTACTCTGAGATTATGAATCAATAAAGAGCCATTTAATCTAGCGAATCAGATGTTCATTTCAACAAGACAGAAAGAATGAATACATACAATATATCCCTTACTTACAGTAAGATAACTTCAATTCATTGCAAGATAAACGTTTCCGTGCAAAATGTAGAGGACTCTTACGCGCTTGCTATATGGCAGTGTGATTCTATAAAACAACTAGCTTGCATTTTAAATTTTACTTTAACGGCATTTAGTAAAATATTGTACTTCCAATTTTGTAAACTTTGATTTCCGAAATGGGTTACGTACTTGTACGTAGATCTGCCTTGGAATAGAAGGAACGCCTTTTACCTGTTTTAACTCTTATATTCTTTCCTTCCTTTTTTAACAAAGATAAATGTAATATGAATCTCTATGAGGAATTGCTAATCTTGAACTCACTGAAGATGGACAAACTTCACTTCATCTATACTTTCCAAGAACCCGACACAAAAAATTAAGGCCGTTGAGTGCCTTCCTACCTGCAAGAGTAATGAAGCGAAAGTTGTTTACCTTAGAGGCTTCCTAACGTCTGGTAAGCATGACAATATACCTACTGAAATGCAATGTGATAGAAATATAGTTTCGAAGAAAGGCTTGGGCAAGACGGCCCGTATGTTTCGGATTACTATCTTGCTGAAACTGCCATTTGCCTTTAGCGTGCGATTTATCTCTGGAATGTCTGTGGAGAATATCTACATAGAATTTAGCTTTCATTATCTGCTTAAAGCAAAAAATTGGTTTTTGTTTACAAATTTATTATTCTGCTCATAACATGCGTTAATCTTTTATTTTATATAAAAAAAAATAAATTACGACCGCACAATACTTGTTTCCCTCCTGTAATGATAGTGATAATAATGGTATGTAATGTACACCCACTGCCAAAAAGTAACAACCGTAGTAGCCTACATTCAAATTGAGATATCTCGTCGTCATCTAACTAAATGTCAAGCACTTTTTTTTCTCGAGCAGATAAGACCATAGCTTTTGAAAATAATAAAGTCACTTTTTAGCTATGCTTACTATATTTTATAAAATGCCCAAGCCCGTGGAATGATTATTGGACTTCACAAAGACAGGCACAACATCAAAAAATACTCGGAATACCCAGAACTACTTGCAATGATGTCGTTAATAAATTTGAACTTCTTCCTCGTTCAGAAAGACCACCGCTTTTTGATTGAGCGCGCGAAGAGCAAACTCTTGTACGAGTAACCAAAGATAATAGGATAGGAAAGAATTCTTTTATTCAAAAATGATGGTCAGTAATGTGTTTGGCGTAGGCCTCATGAGAAATATGATGTAGACTGTCTAGTGCAATAATGGTCTGGAGCTGTTTTGTTAAAATCGACTTGGCCCATTAGTAGTGTTAGAAGGAAATATTACAGGCCAAGTCTATAAAAACTTTTAGAAAATTATTTAATTCCTTTTATTGAAAGCCTAGATTATGAAAAAAACTTATGTCTTTCAAGATGATAATGCTCCTGTTCATAGATTTAACGTTATAAATAAAAAGTTCATAACAAGAAGATTTCGAAAATATAAGTTTTTTTTTAAAAGTTGTTAATACAATTTCCGGAAAACTTGATTTAAATTTTTGATAAAAAATGTAGATCGTCAAAATGCATATACTTTGCCAGTCTACTAAACTGTTCTCCAATAACACGTATTAGTTATCGATCGCGCTCTCACATTATAAACGTCTACCAACATACAGCAGTAAACGTAAATAAGTTCTTGGGCAAACATTTTCTAATTCTCTATATGGTCCGGTGCAAAAATATCCGTACCTCGATTTAAAGATTTTTATTTGCGTAATACTAAAACCACATGCAACGACCCAAATAAGCCCATTTTAACATGGTAAAAAGATTACATATAGACATATTTTTCCTCATGTCTAGTTCTCGTGTAAACCGAACGCCCCCACCACTAACAGCGAACGAAAAATGGATGGTATTGAACGTCTACAGATACTTTCCTGGGGCTACATCCATAGGTAAGCAAAATAAAAACATAACATTACGCAAGCGAGTTGGTCTAGTTTTGGGGGTTGCGGAGAGTACGGTTGAGGGATGTGTTGTCTGATTGGAACCGGCACATTTACACCACATCAAAATCTTGGACAACCTAAATCTCAACCAGGCGAAGACATCATATATCACTTTTGCGAACTCACATTATGAACAGTAACAAGACAGGACAACAATTTTCTTACGACGAATTCTTTCCGAACATAGGTACATACTTTCCAAGTGGCAATTTCTCCGAATACTATATGGTCATCAAGTTTTTTTTACGCCTCCTTACCATTGCGAGCTTCAGCCGATTGAGGGTAAAAGTTGAGGAGGCCCACATTTAAATCTCTTAGACGTTAGAAATAAGCTTTTAAAAGCTTTTAAAGAAAAAATCTTAACATCAAAGTAATAGTAGGATTATGGAAAAGAGCGCTCACAAGAGCGAAAGGATATAAAGAATCAGATAATAATGTAATTTTATTGGATGAGGAAACAGATGAGGATGACAATCTTGACAATAATGATGAATTTTAATAAAATTTTTATAGTATAATAAATCCGAATACCTATTGGTTTTTTAATTAAGATTATTGTGAGGTGCGGATATTTTTGCACCGAACAGTACACATAATTAATATAATTAATTATTGAATATTCGCTTACATTTATCAAATTATTGCTTTTTTATTAATTAGTGAAATTAATACTTGCAAAAAGCATTAATTAAAACTATGCGGTCATTATCAATCTGCACTCACACAATTACTTCTGAGCGTGAATAATATGGAACTACTAAAATCGTGCTTAAACAAACATGTTTTACTAAACGGGTTAATACTTACTCCAGAAATTGTATCATGATCTGCAATTGCTCAAATCAATACTGCATTCTCTTGTACTAGTAAATAAAATAATTCTGCACCTATTTGATGTTGCTTTCTCTCTTGATATTAAAAAGTACTTATTCGAACAATTAAACTATTCGAAACATTGAGCAATAAAGCTTAATGAGAATTTGCTTAGAGAAGTGTAAACAGCCACCGCAAAAAATTATGTATAATTGTTGAACAACAAAATCACAAGAAGCAGACTAGTGATATACAGTATATTATTCGCATCACCCACACACGTATGACATAAAATTTGTGCCACTCTGGCATTAATTCATTGATTTTGTAATTCAAGTAATACTTGGATTTTTTAGCGGCCACTTGTAATAACTTGTGATTTGCTTACACATAAAGGATGGAGGATTGTGATGCACTTTATTTAAGAAATTCGGAAACCGCCGCAATACCATTATATCACACACAGTAAAGCCTTGTTTTTCGGGAAAAAGGTGAGCAATATGTGTGTAATGTAGCACTTTATCTAACGTCTGCAATCCTATTAATTAACAAATCACGTCAAATAGCGTTGATGTTTAACCGCTTTTTTGTATTACATTGTACTGTATATTTATAATATTGCTTCACAAAAATTGCTCCTCCTCAGCGCTTGAGAATACGCTTGCGTCGTCGCTCGCAGATTGCTATCAGGCATGAGAAACCTTTCTTTCGTGGGTAATTCTGCGCTAATGCAAAACCATTATGTATGTCTTGATGTACTTGTTCGCAAACGTCAGATTCAAGTACATTAGTCATCATTTATTGTACTAGGTGTTGTTTTCACGAGGTCAAGGCCAACGCCGTGTTCTGCCAACGGCCTTATTGACGTTATCCCGCTCTAAATTGTTTAATTTCTATTTTTAATTTATGTATCAAAACTTGACGCTAGAACATTCGATTTATAGTCCATTTTTATTGAAGCGGCAATAAGATAATAAATAGAAATTAAGCGTCATAGATGGTAATATAGGATTTAAATAAGACTATATTAACATGCACTTGGCAAGGCTAAATAAACGGTAGACATTGGAAGCTTACAAGTTGGGACATGACTGTGCGTTTTTATGGGGTTTCTTAACCGCCGTTACTTGTTAATAAAAAATTTGATTTTAAACATTATTCTCCTTTGCACATCTTCAAACATTTCATAAAACTATATTGCCGATTGTAGACGACTGATACATCTGCCTCCTATGTACCTTCGTTTAGTTCACAATCAGAACTTCAAAGACATAGAAAAGAAAGAAAATCATACATTTTAACGGTAATGTGGTAATTCTGTAAATGAGTTTAATAGAACCTTTTCGGAAAGATTAACCGTTGGTAACAAAGGAACTTAGAATGTATTTCGGCTCCCCCCTGAAATGTAAGGTGTCACAACATATCTGGTTAACATACGAAATCACGGGGGACTGCTAAACTATATTTTACATATGCACCAATTCAGACGCCGATCGAGGTTCGGTGATTCATATTAATTTCCCCTGGTACACCAGTGGTGCACCATAAATACCACATGTGAGCTATAGGTTTAGGATAAATTTGCAGATCTCATTGGCGAAATTAATATAATCTTCGGTGGATAGATTTTTAAATACCGGTCGAGATTCGAGTTTTGGGGGTTGAAACAGGTTAATGTTGTTGCTTGTTGCCCAACAAACGTTTTAAATACAGATTTTATTTCCCAAGACACCCATTCTTAGCAACTAATTGTGTAAAGCGTCACATGCCACAATCTCCCCGCGCAATCGAACGTTCTATTGTATAGTAACTAAATTACTTGCATTTTATTTTTTTGTAATGAGTAATGAATTCAAATTTCCATATCGGTTATTAATTGTATCGTGGTCTAGCTTTTCATTAAACAGATCTACTGGTTTTTCGATCGGCTCATTTCACAAATGACAAATTAACTACAAAATCCGAAACGCTTGCAAAATGTAATTGTAGCAGGTTATGTGATGTTGACATATAAATTGTCCAACTTTTCTCAAAGTGTTTTTCAATCAAAGTGAAAACTTGGATCGGGAATCTTTTATAAGACAATTTTTTATCTGAACTATAATTTTTGTTAATTGGCAGGCTGGTTTCTGCTTATTAGTATTATAGAGTCATCGTCATTCATTTTTTTCTTCTGCCGGACAGCGCATAGAGATAATCATTACTACTGAGTAGTTAAACTTTTAATACACGATCCCCTGAACACGATCCCCTGATTACCAATGGTTAAAATTATTTCTCTCATTACATTGTTTCTATCAACAGCCATAGCGCTGCCATATTCCATTGAGCGCTCAAATGGCAATCTTATGCTCTCATACCGTGCTCGAGCAACATCGATCATACCTGACCAATACATTGTCGTTTTCGGAAAAAATTTGACCGATAACCAAATTTCTGATCATTACGATGACGTTGATAATATGCTGTCAAATGATGAAGACAACCTGAAAACAAGAACCGCAGACAGCCCTACTTATGGAATTAATAACAAATACAAAATTGGGAGTTTTCAGGGATATTCTGGTACATTCTCAAAATCATGTATAGATAAAATTAAGCAGAGAAGTGATGTAAGTATTAGTTTTTGTTTGTCGATCAAATGAAAAGGCAATATTCGCCTTTTCTAGTGCTCATCCAATTTGCTTTGATCTATTTTATTTAGGTTGCATATGTCGAACAAAATCAAAAAGTTTATGCAAGCGAAATACAAGCCAATGCTCAACCAAACTTAGTTCGCATATCGCATAAAAACGTAACTGGACAAACCACATATGAGTTCGATCCGATTGCTGGAAAGGATGTCAATATATATATAATCGACACTGGAATCTTGGTTAGCCACAGCGAGTTTGGTGGCCGTGCTCGAGTGGGTGTGACGGTTCCTGATGCAGAAGATACAGATAAGGCGGGACATGGATCTCATGTTGCCGCTACTGCTGCTGGAAACAAGTTTGGCGTTGCTAAAAAATCTAATCTTATCGCTGTTAAAGTTCTTGGGGATGATGGTTCTGGTTCCAATACCGATGTTATCACCGGGGTACAATTCGCTTTAGATGATCACAAAAAAAATCTCGAGAATTCTCAAAAAACGGGAAAGCCGTTTAAAGGATCAGTCGCTAATTTAAGTTTGGGAGGAGGTAAAAGTGCTGCTGTTGATGCTGCTGTAAATTCGGTAAGTTAAAGACGTAAAGCTTTGAAAATATCGCGTATGGTTATTATACTGAGAACATCCCATCCATTCAATAATATTGTTAGGCTGTTGATGGCGGAATGGTTGTAGTTGTAGCTGCAGGGAATGACGATGTTGATGCCTGTACTCAATCACCTTCTGGTGCTTCGAAAGTAATTTCAGTTGCTGCCATAGACGGTAAAGATACCCGTGCTGATTTCTCTAATTTCGGTAAATGCGTGAAGATGTTCGCTCCCGTAAGTAAAGAATGATTTTGTGCGATTAATTTAATTCATCAAAAATATTAACATAATATTAAATTACCATCATTTGTCCCTATATATATTTAACAAACTGTTAGGGCGTAAACATTTTGTCAGCTGGCATTAAGTCAAACACTGACACGGCCATTCTTTCTGGCACTTCCATGGCAAGTCCCCACGTAGCTGGTCTTGCAGCATACTTTCTTTCTCTGAGTGACACTCCCTTGACAACACAGGAACTAAGTGATAAAATTTTTTCCGTTGCTATACCTGGTGTCGTCAAGGATGTAAAAGGAAGCCCCAATGTTTTGGCGTTTAATGATAACCAGGATTAAACCTGTTTTAAAGGTTGGTTTGTGTATATAAAACATTCCTCAACGACGCTGTCCTGGGACCATTACAATATGAGACTCTGTTCACATTACAAGTAATGCTGGTCAACGTTTGTTACGACTTTATCTAATGGCTTGGTAAATTAATGAACTACTAGGATGTCTGACAATTTTAGAATAATCAAAGTTCCATAGAGAATATTATTCTTTCTCAAATTTGCTGCATAATTACTCACCTATACGTTATTTTGACCACTGAAAAAGACTAATACAAGCCACCGAACATAATACTTGGTCAGTATAACACATCATACAATGTAAAAACTTAACTAACGTTCAAGACCGGCTTGAGAAATAAAAAAATTTGACATAAAAATATGAGTCATATTATTAACTTACTATTGGGCGCGGATGAGAGCAAATTTGTAAAAATTGTGCAATTGTCGACTTGTTTAGAATTAAATAAATCAATAATAATGAATAACAACATTAGAAAAAGCTAATTTATAATCAAATTTATCTTCTTTTAAGTCATGCCTTACAGAAAGCGATAATTTATCGTCCGTCTTCAAACAGACAAAAGTAATTTAGCAAAATTGTTGCTATTGGTAATTCGGTCTTCATAGGCATCGTTCACTAATATATTTACCTACTGTTGTTGTATGTTTTTAAATAAGTTATTCAGTTCAATACAATTTTACATTGCTTAAGTCTACAATAGACGCTACTGTATCTTTACGCAGCGCAGTTGCATAGACTGCTTAGGTTTAGTCAATACAATATTGCAGTAACATGTAATAGACATCACCTATTTCTATACAACGTTTGGTTTCACTCGTCAATTATAAATGTAATTTAATATTGCTATATTAACATATGTAATAGACTTTTAGCGCCGGATATCTATAATTAGTTTAAACTCTATTTTTACGCTTTGTTTGTTGAAATTAACTTATGCGTTTTAGCACACAATAATACATGCGGTAACTCAATGATATGATAATGGTCTGTAACTTGGTCTCTATGTATCGAAAAAGCAAATGAAATTAGATACGCGACTCGATGCATATTGTGTTTTTGTATCCAGCAATGAACTGTGGCAATAATATTATTATTATAGACGAGAGTTGTTCAAATATATTACTCAAAATCCTTGTTAAATACGTACAAATGGTGGTAAAATATCAATTGTATAATTTTGGGACGCAGTCTATAAGTTTAGTTAGGTAGACATTGTTTATGATTACGGGTTTATCTGTGGTAGTCTTTGCATGAGAAGTTACAAGCGATTACAGGGTTTATATAGTATCTTGTCGAGCAAGTGGTTTATCCCAGAGGTTATCTACTCTAAGTTTTTTTGGAGAGGAAAGTAATATTATTGGAAGGCAAAATATTTTTAACATTTAATGAAACAATATGTATATACAGTACAGTAAACAGAGAGCAAGCTAGAAAAAATTTGCCTTTGAAACAATGAATGGATGTCGAATAAGACGAATACAGGCGAGATCGGTTATCGGATAAAACCAGTATTCATATATCAATCGGTTTAATCAATTATTATAAATTTGATCAACGCTAACGTCAAACATCTTTATTTGATTGATCATGACGGAAAGCTTCCTTTAGTTGTGGCCATTTTGGGAGATGTCATTTCATTGAAGCTGCTTTGAGGACTATCTTCATTAATTGCCAACCCATATAGCATCGCCGATTGTTTGTTTGCTATTTCAGAGTTTGTTAACCAGGATGTTGCATTTTCAAGAGCAGTTGGGGAGATGAAATGAATACATTATTGTGACATTTGGACAAAGATATGAAATAAGATTGAAACAGTAATCGGAAATTTGTCCAAGTTGTATATTGTTAATCTGAAATTTTTCTCATAATCTTGTTACACAGCTCCAATGTTACATGATTTAATATTATCGGAATTTTTTATATAGTGATAGCAATGAATCTTGTGTAACTAAATAATCGTGCCGATTTGACGTTATTATTATAACCGGAGATGCTATTAATTGTCGGTTTTAATTAATCAAAATTCGGTACGGTTGTTAGGCAGCCGGTTAAACCCGAGACCGGTTTAGTCGGCGCCGGTTTAGGGCTTGATGGATCGTCAATAGCTCGATACCGCATTTGGTCAAATAACCTTTTAAGGATATATACGTGATAACCAATTGGTCTGATTGGCGAGTATGATTTGTGCTCAATGTGATAAATTATATCATTACCTTTTTGTCGTACGGCTGATGAGCACTATCTAGCCAACGATAAACTGATTTCCAAAACGGATTGGCTCGGTGAACTGGTGAGAGCACTGTTATTATTAAGTCAGCTGGCTGCGTCTATTAGTTGAGTCATTGGCTAGTATTATTAGCAGTTCATTAAGAGTTATTTAAAACATATGACATGAAAAATTGTAAGCAGAACGTAAAGTTTTGATCGAATGTCAGTCATCTCACAATGTCGATAACGGGCATTAAGTCAGATTGAGGGGGGAAAGGCTAGCTTAATGTGTTTGGCTGCGGATAATAATATGATAAAGAATGGTAATAACCAAACTAACACACTCATTGATTAAATAGCTTGTTTTGGCTTCAGTTGCTAATAGCTATTCTAAGTGCTCTACGAAATTATATACAAACAATTACGTAACAGGTCTGCATCTAATAATTGTAGATTCTCTTGGGAGGGCTATTTTTTTTTTTTTTTGAACAAGGGTCTATCGTAAATAAAAGCCTGTAAGTAGCTTTTCCTTTTCTTCATAAATACAACCTCAATGCTGGTAGGCAATTGGCCCTTAATACGTTTATGTAAGCAAAGGTATCGCGGACAAACTATCACGTAAACTCGGAATAAACTGTCCGTCACCTTTACTTCATTTCATGCCGTAGCCACATTTACTCATTAATATAATACTTTTCCTTACTACAATTGCTTGTTGAATAAGCACCTTTACTTCTTGCGAGTTTTCATTTTTATGCGGCTACCATTTCGATGCAATCATAATTAAATAAGTAAAATTTCCCGATATTAAACCTTGGTCCAAATATGGCGGTGATCTACTCGAAGATTTTCCCACATGAAATCATGACATGCAGTTTACACACGCCGCCGGATCTGCCAATCAAATGGCAAAAACATATGAAAATCATTCTTTTGATCGTAATATGCAAGTTGAATATTTGCATCATTTTGAAGTACTTTTCGGAAAAAAGCTGTAGTCCGATAAAGTTGGTTTATTTATGTTACATGACGGTTTTCATACAGATTTCATGTGTAATGTAAATACCGCCACTTTGTCGAACTATTATTCAAACGTTACAAAAAACGAATGGACAATTTTTCATATGTTTTTGCTATTTGATTGACAGATCCCGGTAAATACTTTTTGGTAACGAACAACATAGAATCTCAATCGAGACTACATGTGGGAAAGGCGTGTATAAATTAAAACTGTTATCCGCATTTTGTACACACAATATCAAAAAATCTTAAAAAAAAAAAAGACATCCCTTTTTTAAACCCGTTTTTACTTTCTACAGAAATTGACTAGATTATACACTGCCGCTGCCTCTATCTGTGTCCCGTAGTTTAACATGAAATTCTCAAAATTGCTTGATCAAGAATCGGTTCCAGAATGGAAAAAAATGTACATTGACTACAAAGAGCTCAAACGCATTCTCAAAGATGTAGCATACTTGCACAAATTCGGAAAGGGCGAAAGTACATACAGCTACGACGCTATAGCCTACAAAGAAGATGTCAAATCTCTTCCCCCACTTGGTGAATGCAAAGACTTAAAACTGTAATGTGAAACTCTCATTGTTCAATTGAGATATTAACAAAAACTTATATCATTCAATAGACCAGTTTTCTATACAGAATGATGCGACAATGGATGATATTATACCAAAGATGAACAAATATGAACAAAAGTTCTTCGCCAAATTGGATAAAGAACTATCAAAGATATGGGAGTTTTACGAAAGTGAGTGTCACATTCTATGACGTAATCGTCATATCTTTTATATATCTATCGTTGTCTAATAGGAATTTTCGCTCTTTACTATTGCCACAGATAATGAGGATTATGCTAACGAAAGACTAAAAGAGCTTAAAAAAGCATATAGACTATTAATGCAAGAGCACAAAAAGAACGTGATTGTAAGTTATGTTGAATGACAGATAAAGGTAGCACCCGTATTTTTGCATATACTACATGAATAGTTAAATGTTCATGTACAAAAGATCGCTACATTTTTCAATACTTTATCCCGAAAAAATCTTATAGGAGTAATTATTAGGTGTTTATTGTGCTCGAGCCCAATTGAGTAATCAAATAACACACTCTCACCGAACAACTTTAATCTTTACAATCAAAAGGAAAACGAACCAAACGTATTTAGGCCAATGAGCATTTTGAATCACGGCGTGGATCACCACCCTGGCAAAAAGTATGAAGTTGAACATGATCACGAAGTCAGAGTTATCACTTCTGAAGGACAAAGAAAACCAGTACCTATGAGTTACAATGCAGCAAAGAAGAGAATAAAACTGGGAGTACTTGAATTCTATCGAGGGGTGCAAATGCTCAAAAAATATGCCGTACGTATTAATCAATTTGGTAAATAACTTTAACGTAAGATAGTAAATTTATTGACAGACTTCTATTTCGCTCAACTAAAAGCAACTTAATAAAACTGGGTTTGAGAAAATACTTAAAAAGTTTGACAAGGTAACTCGGTTGGTTTAATCATATCGCCTATCTCATCTACATTATTCAATACTCAGTCAGTATACATCATTAGAATTCAAACTGGAAAGTCAGTCAAATTTATATCCGCAAAGTAAATGCAACAAACTTTAACAATTCCAAAACGCTTGATAACTTGCTTGAACAAACCGAGGTAATTGTTTAAATTTTTGTTACATTGCAGCAGCCAGTATAAGTGATCCGATATAACATTAATACAAATTCTAGTCGCTATTTTTGACTGCATTTGCAGGCGGTGTGAGAAAGCATGCCATGGATACGTTACGAATGCCGGATAAAGCAAGAAAGGCAAGATCTATGTCATCAAATATGAGAATCATTATGAGTTAGTGAGCTGACATTTATTTCCCATATCCAGTCATACGACTTCATTGTATGGCGTGTAGGGTTATACCTTGGTCTAGCAATCGTTCTGTGTTTGCGTGGTATACAACTAGGTACTAATTTCTAATGACGAGCGCAATAACTGTATGTTTAATATGCATCCCAATGATACTTATTTTAATGCAACTTCCATTTCAGCTTTAGATATGGTTAATTTTGTTAATGTAAATACAGGTGAAAAACTCTGTTATCTAAAGAATTCTGACGCATTAAGCCATGACGAACAACAGATTTTTTATAAATTTTGTGACTGGAATCTGTTACTTCAAATATACTTGGGTATTTTCCTGCCAATAATGCTAACATTGTTGGTGGGAATCAATGTGGTAGTATGGTCGAAATTAAAGATAAACTATAAACTCATCTTTGATTTTGATATTAGAGATAATGTAGATTATCGTGAATTTTGGGAAGTAAGTATATGAGACAGGAAAATTATTACAGGCTTCAATGTTTTGCAAATACAATTTGTATCATTATTCAAAACTGATTCTATCAATAACTTGTTTGCAGCTGCCTTCGCTTGTTTTTCTTTTATTTTCTGTTTGTTTCTACTTGTCCTTTGCCAATTACATTCAAGATCTTTTGCCTTCATATTATATCTTGGCCTTTTTTTTTATATTTTGTTTAATTTTCTTTTGTCCATTTCCTATAATGTATTATAAAGCTAGAAGATGGTTTATAACTACCCTGGTAAGCAAGTAGTACAGTATTAATTTACTACATCTCATAATGTTTAATATTGCTAACAACTTCTCTTCGCTACATTTAGTTTCGCATATGTTTGCCATTTGTCTATGGTGTCGAATTTCGTGACTTTTTTATAGCTGATGAATTAAGTAGCTTATCATATACCTTTTCTTTTCTTGCAACAATTGTGTGCGCATTTGATGATGATTGGACTCCAAAGGATAAAGGTAAATGTTTACTTACTTTAATGTTTCTGTATATCTAATTGCCAATAATTTAATAGCTTTAAACCTTATTACAGAGCACTGCTTATCATATACAAACCCTTGGGCAGTTTTTATAGGCAGCATACCTGCTTTGTTACGCTTTTTTCAGTGTTTGCAAAGGTGGATTAAGACAGGAAAGGCAAATCCTCATCTAGTGAATGCACTGAAATATATTACTATAGTGATACCTTTTTGGTTAATTTATGCCAAGCGACTTGAAGGTAAGTTATTTTACAAAATATAGGTGTCTTTTGTTTTATTTTTATGCTAACAATTTTCCTTTTTACAAAAATAGTATCACTTATTTTCTGGTACATAATACATATTTTTAATGTACTTCTTGCAATTTTGTGGGACTTAATTATGGATTGGGCTCTCCTCCGGGTTTGGTACGTACCAAATTACGGACTTCGAGAAGATTTGGAATATAAACGCAAGTGGGTGTACTACTCTGCGATAGTCTCAAATATTGTGATGAGATCTTCGTGGATATTAGTATCTCTCTTTGACAGTAAACTATTGGGCGGTGGTTTAGCTTTTATGGAGATGATTCGGTAAGTGTGTTTGATATTAATGCCAGTTAAACTGAATAGTCATGCTGGATACTATTATTTGTTCTGATATTAACCATAAACGTAAACATTAGTCGTTTTCAGTGGAATTTTTTCCGTGTTGAAAAGGAGGTAAAATCTTCACCTAATTTTGGATCAGGCTTAGCTTCTACCAAATTTGCTTTATATACTTATTTTATTTTTTTTGCCTTCTTAAGCATGTGAACAATATTCTTAACAAAAAAGCGGTCAAAGACATCAACATACCGTTCGTAATATCCAAAGACAACCGCCATTCGATCGGTCTTCAAATCCTAAAAATACGCCCTGAATCCGTTCCCTTGGATCCAAGCAATAGTCGGCAATCTTTACAACAACGTCTTAGCAATACATTTGCTAACTTTACGCCGTTTTACAAAAATGCAGACTTTTATGATTATACTACTCACCGTGACAATGAACAAAGTATAGGTATCCATACCTTACCTGGAGATGATGACGACGATGACGATGACGATGACGGAGATGTTATTAATGAACGTGACGATAAAAGTAGCAATGATAGTAATGAAGGTAAAGACATTGTTATCGATAAGTGCAAAGGCAAGGAAAATGGAGAAAATCCCCACCAAACTTGATGGCATTGATATTAGCGTTTTTTGCATTTTTTTTTATATAATTTTTTTTTCTAGAATAACTACTCGTCGAGAGACCGGTCGCGACCTATCTCCCATTATTCGCTGAATTGCCTTGAAGCATTTCAAAGCAATTTTATGAACCAGTTTATTTTGCATCTTTGAGAAAGCTGAAAAGTAATTATTCTGACACACCACCAGAACGAGTCGAATAAATATAGTAGTCGTATAAATGTTAACAGCCAGGGAACAAGTACCAAGTATTGTTAACGTTGCCAAGACTTTTTGAATTATAAGTAGCTTTGCCCGAACTTGTGTTCTATAATCACAGATTTAGGCCTAGCCTCTTAAACTGTAATTTCAATGTTTTTAATATTGTAGACTTGAGCATATAAGATTTATGTTTAGAAAGCCATTTTAATTTATGTACCATAAAGATTTTATTAGTAATTACATAATTGAAATCAAGCATAATAAATAATTTTAAAGCTTGACTTCTGAACTGTTTCCAAATGAGGCAGCAGATAATTTTTTTCAGGTTGATCAAGAGGAAGAGCAGGAGAAAAGTCCAGGGTGACCTTTAGAAATATCACTCTACTTTACAGAAAGTTGTAATATTGAACAATGTGTTATTGACAACTCAGCAATATACAGTTGAGTACCTCATGATAGACAACAAATATCATTATGAGTCCATTACAAGAATATTATGGAGCTCATAATGAGCTCACTACACAATAACTCAGTGATATGATAATGAGATCTTATTTATATTGTCACACTTTATCCATTAGATTATCTTTGTGGTGTTGAAATATTAATTTCCATGCTAATGCGGGAACTCTTTCCCTCTTCTACTTCTCCAACGACCAAAGCTTATGTACTATTTAGCAGTTTCTCTGTAGTTGTCAATAAAGATCCTATAAAAATCAAAATATTAATTTCACTATGTGTGTTAGTGTACAATATTAAACGTCACAATCCCATAACATACTCGCGGCAACAACTTTCAAATCCAGTGAAAAACTCACTATTAAATGATCACGTTTTGCTTAAATAATGTTTATTGAGCTCTTTTATTTATAAACAATATAAATGTGAGATACTATGAGCTATTTTCTAAATTAACAGAAAATTTTATAGAATAGTTTCATGTGCATGGGTACATACAGTAAGAATTTCACTAAACAATGAAAGGATATATTACTGTTCGGACCCATTCTAGGATTTGACCATTCTGGGATCCTGAAATGGGTTGGCTCATTTCGATTTTTGCGATGTGATAATCTATAGTCATTTCCGATTATCACACACTGGGTACACCAGCGATGATGCTTCTTTTGATAACATAATTAAAGTAGTTTATCTTG